CTGTTTAAAAGAGAGTCGTGAGCTGGAGAGAGGTCTTGTTGGCTCAGCTGGGGAAGGAAGACATCGGGGTTATAGATGTGGATGCTGAGCGCTTCAGCCTGTCACTTATAATGCTGATCCTCACTTGTAAAAGGTACGAGCCGCTCGCAACTCGAAGAGTTGAAGTTCATAATACAACAAGCTTTAGTAAAAGTGGCAACCAAGTTTCCAAACTAGACCCAGGGCTGTAATACTCGCTTCATCATGGGAGCCTATACTTAAAATCATCAATTAGACACACTGGGGGAAATTTGACTACGGAGCCTCCGAGTGCGGTTTCATAGGCCTCATCGGCCTTTATTGATCAGTCTCGACTTCCGTCGGACACTTCGGCAGCCGGTGGGCCGGTTGTTGAGGCTGACAAGTGACCTTGTAATTAGCGTGGTAAGTTTAACGGTTTCCCACGTATTCACGCGAACAAGCCAACCGGTATGCTGTTCTCTAATGAGGTTGGGCAGTGGAAACGTGAGCACGGTTTCTTTCACACTTTTGGGTTGAGCGTGAATAAGGTAAATTCGGCGCGCAACCGATCAATTAAGCTTTTGGCTACGCCTCTGCTCCAACCACTTACACGACTCAAGCAAGGGGGGATCGTCATTTCCGAATATACGACGAACGACTCAAGGAAGGATTTGTATTTGAGTTGATTTCTAGGGAACCCATTCAAGGGTAATTGTGGTAACTCAAGACCTACAACTCTAATTCAAGAGTCGACTATTCGTCTTAATCATGGGATGAACACCAATCGTGCCAATCTCGTTCACGCACATATATACTTGTCGACAAGCGCAACTGCTTTCGTTTGACGGATGTCCCCTCTACGTTGATCCCCACCTAGTCTTGAAAACCGTTCAAGTCCAAGGCCTACCATAAAGCAGACCCAACTTCACAGTCAGTTCCCACCTACCCTTCTACGCAAGAACACATGAGAAGAAAAGAAAAAGCAATACCATCCCAAAAAACCCCAATAACTAACACGTGAATCACCCAACACAGATGCGTCTCGCCTCACTCCTCTCCGCCACAGCAGCGGCCATGGCCGTCTCCGTCCAAGCAGGAGGACAATGCGCCGACAGGACGGCCAGCGGAGACGCCATCACGGGGTTCCGCTTCTCGCCCGGCTGCAACACCTGGCAGTGGTACTCCCGCGACAAGGGCACGACCATCACGCTCAACCCGGACTGCCAGCTGCGGCAGGCGTGGCCGAACCCGACGGCCGTCGGGTACGTGTGCATCCGGAACAAGTCGGGCGGCAACAAGTGCTTCGCGGCGCCGACGGCCGCCGACCAGAACTTTTGCGGGATCCCGGCGGACTGGTGTAACAATATCGAGAACATGTGGGGGTGGGCGTAGTTGTTCTGGGAGAGAAAATAAAATTTCCGTGGATTATGTTGCTTGGTGCCTTTTATGTTGTCACCTTCTTGACTACCTTGTGATACTTTTCATGTTCTTAGCATAGCGTCACACTGATAATAAAGATCACTTGGTCTCCAACGATCCGTAAATCCCAGTCTATATTTTCCTGGTTCTCCTGCGAGACGCAATCATAAACGATTTTTGGTAGCACGTGCGGCAGCCGTATGAACAGCCAGACCTCTAAAGCGCTTTTTTTCATACCCTCTCATATCAACCTAAAGCGAGTGAACCCCCAACTCAGAGCCGACTTGATTGCCAGCCATGGTCACCGTCCGAGGAAACATACTACACTGACACAGCCCACCTCAACTTAGACGTTGAGCTCGGCAGCGCCAGTGTTCTTGATGTACTCGGCGTAGGGCTTGATCTGCTCCTGGACAGGACCGCCCTCGCCGCAGTAGCGCTGGACCATGGTCGCGGAACGACCGGTGAACAGGTTGGGGTCCAGGAGCTGGTCGATGGAGTCCCAGACGGGCTTGAAGTACTCGGTGGCCTTGATGCGCTCGATGAGGTCGTTCTTGCCGCCCTGCTTCTTGACGACATCGGCGGCCTGGTGGGACAGAACGCGGATCTCCTCGTGGGCCTCCTGGCGCGAGCCGCCCTTGGCGACGATCTTCATGATGATGTTCTCGGTTGCCTTTTGTCGCCATGGTTAGTAGCCGATCTGTGCGCGACTAACATACTTTCCAGGGGATGTTTTGGGGCTTACCATGAAGGGGAGCTCTTCCATCACGTGGGCGCGGATGACCTCAGGGTAGATGACCTGTGAACTGTAAGTGATTTACTCCATAGTGATTGGGGTAGGCAAGCGTGGTGTTTTCCAGTCTGAAGGCGTGGAGAAGAAGGACTTACCAGGCCGGACGTGACGTTGTCGAGTCCGAGAAGGATGGCATCTAGGCGTGTTAGCACAACTTCTTCAGCAGAGCGGTGGCTGTGGCGTCTAGAGCCGCTCAAAACTCACCGGCCAAGAGGAACATCTACTACTGATTAGCGCCGCGTCTCCATACTTCCAGCGGGGTCAACTTACCTCGGGGATATCTATTCTCCGAATAGCAGAGTCGTCGAGCGTGCGCTCAACTGGCCAGGTGTTAGCACGTTAAAAAATCACTTGGGGGCCCGGGGGTGTTGAGTGACTTACACCACTGGTCCGCGTACGTATCCGCGAAGTTGGCCGGCAAAGAGCGCAGCTAGGTGGTGTCAGCATCAATATTCTTCCACGCTGTGTAGTCGACTAACCTTGCGTCCGAGAGAGCAGATGCGCTCGCTGCGCATGGGGTTTCTAGTAGTGGTGTCAGCTCGTTGAAATGTGTCTTGGTCGCTGGTTAAGGCCGCCTGTGCGAGCATCCAGTGTGAAGACGTGTGCCATCTGTTGAGCCCCTATAAGGACGAAATAGGGGGAAGAGAAAACGCGGGGATGTTTCTACCTCTTGTACGCCCTGTGGTGAAGTCAGCATATCATTTCTTAAGCCAGTTAGGAATTAAACATACATTGCCGAAGAACCGATTTGGTCCTTCTCTGGAGACATTGTCAGCTCGATATTCAAACAAAAGCCGCATCCCCCTTTTTGGACTCTCGACTTAAATGTTGCTTGAGTATGCAGGGCTTCAGGGGTAGGAGAGCCTATCAGTCACTCACCAAAAGGCTCTTCCATCTCCTTGGAGTGGGCGAGGTGACGGATGTCATTGGTGATGTGCATGGCAGTCGCGCCCAGGCCGCAAATAGCGTTGCTGACGTCGAGATCGGTCTTGCGGGTGTATGTCTGGGTTGAGATGTCGTAAGTCTTAGGGAAGCCAGCCTTCTCGCAGAGAAGGTCGTTGAGCTTGTCGATCTTGGCACCATCACCCTGGAAGATCTCCATGAAGGAAGCTTGGGTTCCGGTGGTGCCCATCGCACCACGGAAGGCCAGACGCTCGCGCGCGGTCTCGATGTTCTTCAAGTCCATGCACAAGTCCTGGATCCATTGTGCGGCGCGGCGTCCCACGGTAATGAGTCTGGACGGAGTTCAGTGTGTGTTACTTGTGCAGGAACAGGGTGGAGGCTCACTGTGCGGCCTGGTAGTGGGTGAATCCCAGAGTTGCGAGCCTGTAGGTTGTGTTAGTCATTATCTTAAGACGGAAGACTTCGCAGACGGATCGTCCAAGGAGTCGTGCCGGTCCAACTGCTCTACAAAGCCTTAACTTACTCCTTGTGCTGAAGAGCGAACTGAGAGAGGTTGTGAATGACCTTGGCCAGCTTGGGCAAGAGAAGGTCCATAGCATTTCTGTTGGGTGTTAGTTCTTAGCCTCTGAAGTCATATTTCTTGCATTACCTCATCAGGATGAGCTCTGCGTTGTCCTGTAGTATACTATGTCAGTCCTTGTTCCAAATGAAGTCTCGGAGAATTTTCCATCTGTTCCAAAGTGTCCCAGAATCATGGAAGGCGGCTCCCTTAATGCGAGAGGACTTAAGCCAACTTACAGTGACGAAGCAGCTCGTCGCCCCTATACATAAGATTAGTACAAGGAAGATGACGCGCATCGCGCAATTGACTGGATTCTTACCGAGGTGAATAATGCCAGCGGCGGCAGGCGCAACTTGGCCGAAAGCGTGAACGTCTGCGACCGAATATGTCAATATCTCATCATGATCCGTGTAAGAGCCTACGCCCAAACCACTTACGAGCCATCTGTGAAGAGCCGGTCAACATCATGAGAAGTATTTACCCAAAATTGAACGAATTTACTCACCACGTCATGACGACGTCTCTTCTCCTCAACGGCAGCCACTTTGAAGTCCTCATCGGTCAATGTCAGGTGAGCTCTCATTTGCTCCAAAGCCTCCTCAGAGATTCCGTCGATGCCAAGCTCCTTCTCGCCTATAACAGCAAGATCAGCAATGAGTTTCACCCGGACACTGCGAGAGAGACTTCTTCACTCACTCTCGGCCAACCACAGCCAAAGCTGTCTCCAGGTGGAGTGACGGTTGCGCTGGGAGAACAGCTTCTTGGCCTCCTCGCTGGCATATCTGCCATCGAGGGGCGTCTTGTACGTGTCAAGTCCGGACATTTTGAGATTTGTGTGTGTGGTAGTTTCTGAGGATATTCACGCCTTACACAATGAAGGAAAAAACTTCGCTATAAAATAGTCACCCTCAGAAAGTAAATGCACGAAAATTGTCCGGCGACTGGCACTGACATGACTTGGACCGATCGCGGGGTACTTTTTAATTGGGCAGGCGGTCGCAGATTTCGCAGTGCCCCGCTGCCCCACACCAGGCCACCGACCCCTGCATTCTGTCGCTGCCCCTCCATCGCAGTTTCTGGGCTCTCTTACCTCATCAGGTACGACGAGCGGTACTTTGGCTTGGCCCAAGCTTCCGCCATCGCCCTGTTCCTCTCCAGCCACCTCCAACCACAACAAGAACTACATCCCAATCCTTCGCCAACCTGATCTCTTCTTATCGCGGTGAAGCTTTGGGATCCTCGAAGCCTTGGGATGCCAGTCCCGCTGCTTCTGTTTGATTGTATTTTGCAGGTCTCAGGGGAGCATTGCCTCTTCTCTATAAGATGAGGACGCTCGATGAAGCCCAGTGAGTGCGAGTCGCACCATCCCAGCTGTGACATCATGTTCACCGACTGATCCAACTCATAGGAAACGATGGACCGAGACATTAAAACATGCTGGGAATCTGTCAGACTTGCAAAATGCAGTCAGATATAACGGGCCTTCCAGTCCGTGCATTTCGGGACTCCGATCAATTTGTTGGAAGGTCGGTGTGAACTTGGAAGTTGATTTCATCTCAACTTGGAGCTGACAGCTTCTTAGGCATTCTTGCTGATGCCAGACATTCCATCATCGGACTGGGTGCCTCAGCTTGCCGAATCGCGAAGTTTCTATTTAGAAAGACGAGATCACTTCTTGAAGTTCATCAAGCACCCCGAGGAGCTGGCCCAAGTCGCCATTGATCCGTTGACGGACGATCCAAAGGTGAGTAGCATGAAGCCAGTGTCTCAGTTACAGATCTGTAACTCACATGTTATCCAGTCACCGTGGAATACTGTTCGACAGGACGAGATAATTAGGGCCGAGATTGCACAAGACGTTCGCCGATTGCCAGATGAGCCATTCTATCAAGAGGAGCAGACGCAGACAATGATTATTGATGCATTGTTCGTGTATTGTAAGCTCCATCCCAATAGTGGTGGGTATCGTCAGGGTATGCATGAACTTCTTGCGCCCATCCTCTTTGTTGTTAACAAGGACGCACTTGATGCCGCGGCTATCTCGCCCATTGGCACCAATGTCGATACGAAAATGCTAGCCATGCTAGACTCTCTGTACGTTGAGCATGACGCCTTTGCCTTATTCTCTAAGATCATGGAAAGGGCAAGGGCGTTCTATGAAGTCCAAGACTCGATCTCAAGGGCAGCGATGTCGTCTGCTTCCAAAGACCGGGTGGAAACATCGGCCATTGTCGAGAAGAGCAAGCACATACATGAGGTTTGTTTGGCCAAGGTCGATCCTGAGCTGGCGAACCATCTCAAAGACATTGAAATTCTGCCACAAATCTTCCTAATGTGAGTTGAACCGTATCGAGCCACGTTGACTTTCGACTTACACATTGCAGCCGTTGGATTCGTCTCCTCTTTGGACGGGAGTTTCCCTTTGATGAAACGCTCGTGCTGTGGGATACCCTCTTCGCGGTCGATCCGTCTCTCAGTCTGATCGATCTAATTTGCGTCGCTATGCTTCTTCGCATCCGCTGGAGTTGTGAGTATTTTTCAGGATAACCCAACGTCACTGATGCTGATCAATGCCAGTGCTCGAGGCGGACTACTCCGTTTGTTTGCAACTGCTTCTCAAGTACCCGGCACCGGAAGCTCCACACGGGCCGTATACATTTGTGGATGATGCGATGTATCTGAAGACACACCTCAATGTCTCAGGCGGCGTTTCGCTCCTCTTGAAATACACCGGGAAAATGCCCAGTACAACACAATCTGCTAGCAATTCGAGGCCCACGACACCAATGGGCCAAGCTTTCTCATCCTTCAGAAATCGGACCAAGGGTGGCCAGTCACCAATTCCGTCTGCGAGTAGGTTTATTCAACAGCAAGGTGGCGTGGAAGCACTTTTTCAAGGCGCAGCCAAAAGCGTTTTGGAGCGAGGCGAGAAACTTGGCATCAACCAAGCAGTACGAGACGCCATGGGCGATATCAAGAGAAACATGCAAGGGCTGAACGAAGTACGCTATCCTCCTCGGATGGCAAGGCAACTGCTTGGCGATGACTCGGCAGCCCAGGCCATCGCTGCCATTGAGCAACGGAATAAACTGCTGGCCAACATGTTAGACGAGACAGTGACAAGTCTCAGGTCGTTGGCTACTACTAATCTAGAAGACAAGGTCAAGACGTTGGAGCTTGTCGAGGTAGCGGCTGCTAAGGTGCAATTTGTAAAGGTTTACTTGGAAGACCCGACGATTGAAGTACCAAATCTGGAGGGCTTTACCAGCCCACCGCCGGAGGAGGCGAATACCGAGACCCTGATGGAAATAGACGCGAACGACAGTGCTGTGCTAGGGGCGGCGGTTGCTGCAGAGAGTGTGGCAGGCGTCATTTCGACATTGTCTCTGGATGAGCATGAAAAGACAAAACCCCCGACCTCGAAAACAGCCATTCCCGACGTCATGGACATTACACAAGAGGCACCCGCCGATAAACCAGCAGAACATCCGTCAGCTCTGGTTTCAAGCCCAAAAGCTGACGCACCTCGCGTGAAGCCATTGGAACGACCTCAACCGCCTATCCCAACACGATCAACCCTCGCCCAGTCTTCCTTCTCTTGGATGCTAGAACCAGACCAGTCTGCCCAGTCCGCCTCACCACCCAAGTTGCCCAAGTCGAGCTCAGGAGGCGCACACCGCAAGAAGCCGTCTGGGAATATCAGCAGGGAGCGCAACGCCTTTCTGTTCGGTGAGGTCGTCGCTGACTCCGAGGATCAGACTATGCCAATCAAGTCTGACGACATATTCGGACTACAGCCCATGGACAAGCCCAAGTCTCCCTTCCCGTGACAACCACGAGTAGAGGTTTAGACGAAGAATTAATGATGATTAGTAGTGCTACAGGAGCCAGCTATACGATAACTACGATGTTATGCTCGCGCAGATATGCGTCGTTCTTATTAGATCGAGAGAAATAAGGCCTTTACAATATTGGACTATCGCCAGACTTTCCCAGTGAGAAGACATGCCATTGTTTTGAATTGTGAGACATGATGATATCAACTAGGTATTTGATAGGATAAGTCAGCCTGTTCTGTCTAAGTCAGTGAAAATAGACGTACATTCTCAATATCATCACACTTGAGATTTCTTTCACTTCTAGTGGAATCATACCAATGCAGAACCATCAACGAGGCAGATTGTGGTGACCACTGGTCCCCAAATGATCAAATTTTGATTCTCGTTGTGCCTCAATGACTCGGACGGCTGCCTTGGGTAGGTAGGTAACAGTGTAATGGGACGGAGCGTCCTGAACGATTGGAAAACATGCCTGGACCTTCCTCAACCTCCCGATGATACCGATATATTCCATCCCAACGTCCTTCCTGTCACCAGCACCCATCCAGCCAATTGGCCGGGTGGTTTACACTCTGACGCAGAGAAGTCAGAACGAATACTCCAATGAAGCCATGCTAGCCTGAGGGGCGCGCTGTTCGATTCCGGGCAGGGGCGTGTATTCGAGAGTCAGTATCTCCCAGCCCACATTCCTTTCCTTTCCTTTCCTTTTTCTTCTTTGTATTATTTTTAAGTCGTCGCGGCTCTCTCTATTAGTCTTTTGGGGTCAGGAAGCGTTGAGGCTTTCGAAAATCTTAAGCTAGCACTAATATGTTTCCCAGGTACTCAGCCGTGATTGTAACTTATCGGGCAGTCCCATATACCTCTCAGCGGGTATCAGAAGGAAAAGCCATCCACCATCACGTCTGCGAATACTTTTGCTCATATTCCCTCGAAAGGTCAAAACCTCAATGTTACACACCCATTCATTGTACGCTTACAGAAACAGCTTATCGGGAATACATACTTTGAGATAAGCGTCAAATATATACTTCATCACGATGCGGACAGTCAGATACTCGCCCGGTCTCCAGAACCTTGTATCAGCAAGGCCCCGCCTGACTCCCCGGCTTCCTCCCGCGCGAGTGAAATGTGTGCCAACGGCACTGACGAGGATGCCGTTTCTACCTCTGTTTTGATGGAGATGAAGGATCATAGTGATAACCGAGGAAGGAGCCTGTTGGTTTAGTTACGCCTCCCCGGTTGATGTTGGATGGACCACTCCACCCTGGAACTAACCCAGTGTGGATAAATTCCTCACGCCTTTGCAGAACCAACGACGGACCCGATGGATGCCAGGACTTTGTCACATCGTTCCAACACAGACTCTACTTTTGCCTCGGACGTTTCGCCTCTCGCGGAACGTTATCCTCGCATACCTGGCGAGCCAAGACCACTTCTTCACAAACACTGCATGGACCGACGTCCAACACAAGTCACAAGGTCATCATCTAACCGGCCCACTTTCGTCCCAGAACAATGCTCAATGTTCACCATTTCTGTCTCTCCGGTCTTGGCGGTGAGGAGGGGCGTGGTTGTAGACAACGCCGGTTCAACGTCGAAAACACGACTGGGTCAAGCGTCGATGTTTGTTGAAGACACGCACTGTCAGCACCTTTTTTGGGAACACATCGCTTCGATGAAGCTTCCACGCCGAATAAGGATGGCCCTCGCGGAGAGAGAGAACGCCAAGGCAAGCAAACCAGCCGCCCGACACTTCGAGTACTGAACGCTTTGGAGATGGAGTCTTCCGCTCCAACGGCCACCAGCCCAGATCAGCCTCTGACCCCGAAACCGCATGTTGGTTGCAAGATATTAGCTGTAGATACGCAGCCCTGCCGTAGTCGAGAGCAAACATGCAGCGGGTCACCATCTTCACCAACTAATACTCTATCCGCCCCTGCAGGTCCACGAGGCCATACAGAGAGGCAAGAAAGGAGCCGGGATATTGAAATGGGAAAGGAAGGGGGGAACAAGGAGACCGTCGTCAAAGAAAGGGACGCTGCAGATCCGAGTCCGAACGTCCACCGCCTTGGGCGTCTGACAAACAATAACCGCTGCACCCCTCAGGTGCGACTGGCAAACTTCGAGAATATGCACCACACTGTGAAGAATCCGCCCTTCAACCCGCCGTTGCGTTTCTGTATAGCAATACGCAATTCTCCAAGACAACAATCAAGGGCGTGGAGTTGTCACATGAGGCCAGCAATCAACAGCAATCAAAACTCCCTCTAGCTGGCTGAGCACAGCAACGGCAAGCAAACATTGCAGCAAACAAACAAGATACTTCCCTACACACTCTCTTGCCAACAAGCCTCGCTCGGATACTGGGTGACAGATTAGAACAGTACCTCCATACCCTGTCTTGTCACTTCCGTACAGAGAAATCACCAACATGACGGTCCCAACTGTCTGGTTCACCTCAGTCCCAGGTTGTTTGATAGGGGCAGAGCCGAGGCTAACATCCCATCTACGCCACCATCTCCAACATTCTTCATCACCACCGCCATCTTGCATCGATTCTACTAACATTTTCGTCACCCACGCCACCCCCAGCTTGTCACCATCTGCCAAACTTATTCACGAAGGGCCGACATGACGGTTCGCTGTCCCTGTGTTGGGAAAATTAGCCGCCGCAGAAAGAATGCTTCATCCCTTACGGCCGCTTGGTTTTGCTGCGCCCCTATCTTTGGCCGGAGATCATCATGCGGTCGACCTATACATAGCCTTCAAATGTACATCGGACTTTACGCATCACAGCCTCGTCAACTCACGTCACACTGTCCGCTGTAGCAAACCGGTGACAGCTGCGCATAACATGCGCCATGCCCGTCAGCCCGGTCAGAATCGATACATCTGAGCTCGCAAACACGCGTACGTACATTCTCCCTACCAAAAATGGGCAGAGGATACAAAGCAGGCTGAGATACAGACAGACCGCCCAAACCACCCCCAAGTTCCAAAGATGCTCTTGCGTAAGAGTTATGCCATAGACTACGGACGAACATTTCTAGAATTCTTTACAGGCCAATACTCGCAGCATTCTCTTTACGGTTCGGTAGCACAGCACCAACACTGCAAGCAATGTTGGATGAGGAATTCCAAGCAAGTCCAAATTCCATGTCAATGGGCAATGTTTGTGGGATTCGACAATAGGTGCCCTTGGACACTTCGCCTAATCCCCCTTGGCTCAAGGGCAGTGATCACCCGGTTTCAGACGGGAGAAGGACAATGGTAACAACGGTCCAACGTTCAGAGACTACGAAACCCCCCACAAAGGTGTACAACCCTTTTTCTTTCCGTCCGCCTCGTCTGACCATGATTGAAATCTCCCTCGAAATCCCCATAAGGCGAATTCCGTCAAGAACAAGATCCGATGGCCCGTTTCCGTTGCCTTGTGCAAACCAAATAATGGGTTTCCAGAGCCCTGGAATGGGATGATGGAAGGGACGCACAAACTGCTCATCCCAGGTTCGGAGGATAACGTTGGATTATTTTTGAACTCGTGGTTTTGATTCGTAGTGATTTCTAAAATCTACTAATCCCTCTATTTCCGTATTCCAGGAAAACCCCCAACCAACCAACCAACCAACCGGCCGACCAACAATGCCTCTATGCGTGGCCCCCAGACGAGCAATCAGGAACCCCCCCTCGTCTGCCCAACCAACCCATTCCCACCCTCTTTTGACGTTTCATAATCCCATTGTAAAATGCATTGTGGACACACTTCGTATATCGTAATCCCCACGTACCATGTATGAAGAACCAAAAGCAGCATGAAAAAGAAAAGAAATAGGTAGTTCCGAAGTCTTCGCCGACTACCTCAACCCGCAACCCCCCTTGCTTTCCCATTCCCATCTCATCCCACATAACGCACCACAACCAACTGGTATCTTCTTTTTTTTTCGGCCCCCCCCCCCCCGCCCAGATTGTTAGTTGCGGAAACCAAACACAAAAAAAATAAAAAATGCATAATGCTTTCTCTTTCAACTCCTTGTCATCAACGTTTCCCTTTGATCCATTGTTCCCATGTTCCTTACTATCTTGATCCATGCGCACCATTCACACCACATGCAATATCCCATTTCATAAGACTATCCCCCAGGGAAAACTCCCTCTCTTGCTCTCGGCGTATCCTGCGCTTGTTGCTGTGCCGCCCTCAATGGTTAAAAAGAAAAAACCCTTGCCCAACCCTCCATTTTTGGTACCGTGACCATGATCGCAGGGAAGTTGGGGGAAACCAAGAAGTGAAGGGAATGGAAAAATGAATGAAACTCCCATGTTGCTTTGTTCAACGCCCCTGCCCCATCATCAGACGCAAATCTTCGTCATCGTACACTTCTGGAAAACCAAGTTTTTTTTGTGTGTCTCTTGCACTTTTGGATAGATGGATGATTACACGCTTCGTGTAGCGTGATGTTTTGTGTATTCCCTTTTTTTTCTTTTGGCAAAGTTGTGAGGGGAGCTACTTCTTGCAGCTTTTCCTCAAAGTGTGTAGTATATAGGTTCTCATAGGAATGAGAAAATGAAGAGTAAAGAAGTGGATATCATGAGTAGAAGTAAAGTGCAAACTTGGGAGGGAGAGAAAGGTAAAAGGAGAAAATCAAAGACGGCTGTTTTGAATTGCTCGTCTCCTCTTCTTCCGTGCCTCCGCGGCGTCGAGCTGAGCTTGTCTTGCGCGACCTGGTATAGAAATTAGTTTCCATTGCTCTCGTCACCACTTTACAGTAAGGTAAACCTACCAAGCTTGTCGTATTGCCGCTTGTGCTCTTCCGAAACCCACGCGTAGGTGATGGCGCGCTCGGGGTGCATGCCCAGCAGGCCAATCGAGTTGTTCATCTTCTTCCCTTGCTCGCGGACGTCGCACTGGAACGTCTTTGGGTTATCGTCCTCGTCAAAGACGAGCAGGTTGTTGGGATCCGTGGCGGGGATCTGCTTGTTCTTGCGGTAGTAGACGCCCTGCAAGCCTTGAGGCCCACGCTTGTGGCCCTTTGCGGCGTCCTCGGGGAAGACGGAGGCGTACTTGGCCTCGACCTCCTTCCAGGACAGGTGGTGGTCGACGCGGAAGTAGTCGATGAAGTCGACCTGCTGGATCGTGTACTTTACGTTGCAGCGGGACCCCGTGGGCGAGCGGCGGGGTCTCCGGCTGGGGCTGCAGCCGGTCCGTAGAGTCACTGGTAACCTGTGCTGGAGACGGCGGCTGGGTGGCGAGAGGGGGTTGCGGTGTGAGTTGCTGAAGGTGGGCGAGGGGAGGGCGTCAGGGTAGGCCATCGGTGGCATCGGTGGCATCGGGATTCGGTAGGCGGTTGGTGAGGAGAGGTCCATCCTGGGTTCTTGGAAGGAGCCGAGGGATTCGATACTGCTTCGGCGAGGCCCTCCAGTCATAGCGGAAGGCATGAAGCTCGGGCTGGGGACGAACTCGGGCTCGGGGAGCCGCAGATCCAGTTCACGAAGACGGGGGAGCGTAATTTGTGCCGTGCTATCCTTGGTGAAGGAAAGCTGGCTGTTGACGGAAGGGAGATCTGGTGACCGCGGCTCAGGGGATGAGAACTGAGAGTTTGTTGATCTCGTCATGGCTGGAGGTTGATGTAAGCTTCAAAGCCCATCTTGAATGACACTTGTAGTGGAAAGATTGTCCTACCATCTGACTTGATTGAGGTGAAGCTCTGAGTGGGAGAAGGAAGAGTAGGCGACTTGATGTTGAATGATGCCATGGAGGCCAAGGTGGTTGCAACTTCCACCTCATGACGCTGGCCCGGCTTTGTATCGTTACGAGCGTCCACGTCCATCCTGTCGTCGAAGCTGAATGATGAGAGGCTTGGTAACACCCTTGGTACGTCGTCGGTGCGGCTCTGGTGGTAACTCATAGCTGGCGGAGGCGGCAGTCTGTCCATGCCGTCCTGGTGATCTTGTAACCTGACAAACATGTTGTTTGATGTTGTAGGTAGTAGACGTCGAGGTCCGGAGTGGTGATGGTTTCAGATCAAGAGTGTGTAAGCCAGCAAAGAGAAGAAAGGCAGAAATGATGCCTAACACTTGCGGAGATCTTGATCAAGGAACAACAACGTTGAAAAGTGTGAGATCTTTGGGGGCGAAAGGTGTGTGTTGATCGGGAGGAAGAAACAAGACGAGTCATCGACAACGGGTCAGACCCTGATTATCAAGTTCCCGGCCGCGATGGATCTCTGTCTCTGTTATATCTCTTTTTGCTCCGGGACCTCTCTCTCTCTCTCTTTCAAGTTTCCACACACGGTTGAGAAAGAAAAGAGCCAGGACCCCGGTTCGATGGGGTTGAGTTGAAGACCAGGTTTATCTCTATAGCTCCAAGCAAGGGCCAGGGAGATCGGGGCTCCGCTCGGAGGCTTCTGACAGCGAAAAGCCGTTTCTTATTTTTTCTTCGGTGCTAAAGCAGGCAATGTGCAGACGCAACCAAATGTGTAGATCCATGGCATGTATCATGCAGGTCGCCCAATCTGTCAGGTCTGGCTGGCGCCGAGCGCCCCTCATCCAGGGTCAAGATCCTGGCTCGTCACCTGGGGGAGAGACTGCGAGAGACTTGGAGTGAGAGGAGATGGGCGCTTCTCGTCCAAGTACATAGTGACCTAGCCGTGGGTGTGTCAATGTGTGGCTTTCCTCCCGTGCTCCCCCCTCAATTGTGTAATGCATGCCGTTGCAGGAGAACCATCTTCCTTACGCCACCGCCTTTGAATGGAGGCATGTAGCAAACAGGGTCGTGGCCTGTTTGGGAATGACGAGGATGGGGCGCGGGCATGCAACTGATGGCAGCAGCATCAATAGAAAGCAGCAGCAACAGCAGTACCTATCTACCTAGCAAGAGGAGGAGAGAGTGAGAGAGTGAGACGGGGAGGCGTGAATGAGGGAATCGAAGGAACCAGCAGCGCCCGCAGATAGCAGGTGGGGTGGTTTGCGAGATCACAGCTTGCAAGGGAGAGAGGAAGTCGCTCCAGTCGACGAAGCAGCCCAATAGTCGAGATGAGAGTGCATCACAGTATCCATCCATACCTACTACTTACAGTCTTCCGTGGAGGGCCCGGGTAATGAAGGGGAATAGTGCCATCTGTAGTGCAGCCGCTGCCCGATGCCCCCCCCCCCCGGGTCCCCCAGTGCAGTGCAGTGCAGTGCAAGCTTGCAAGCCCAGCTAGCAACCTAGACACTCCAGGCCGTGCCAGCAGCCTAGACTCAAAGCGAGAGGCAAGCGAGCGAGGGCGAGCCCGAGCCCCGTGTGGATGCCAGTGAGTGCAGGTGGTATTCGGGACCTGCTGCACAGTCGATATTCTCCTCCAGGGGCGCTAGTCTTAGATCGAGCTGCGCGTCACAACTGGTGCGTGAGGTGGTAGTCGCTCGGGGGCCAAGCCGCGAGTTCCACTGTCTTCCGGACGTAGCAGAGACGAAGAACGAACGATTAGATACTCGATCGGGACACTCGAGGTGTGGGTATAAGGTGGAGATAAAAACACCCGCATACAACACAACTTCATCGTCGTCCGTGCCTCTTTTCGCTGGCTCCGCTCCGCCCCTGTCGGGTAGGGATAGGATACCTTCTCACAGACTCACGCTCTTTACACTGTCGTGACGGTAAAGACTGAGTGAGGTGAACAGGGAACCGCCAGGCATATGCCATGTCTTCTTTGCTTCGTGTGACTTCAATCCCCATTTACTGTTGGACCAACACAAGGCTGCCATTGGATCGACTCGGGGCCCCCAAAAGCTGACTCCAAAGTTTGGCAGCCGTGCACCGGTTGGACCATCTGTTGTCGTCCATGGTCCCGGGACTTTGGAACTCATGATTGCAATAATAGATAATCCTTCTGCTCCTCCATCCCTCTCATCTGGAATCGGAGACAGGCTGTGTCCAACAGTGTTTGCTCTGATTGTTGTTCATGGCTCATTGTCGTTGTCGTTGTCGTTTTGTAACGGCCATCCCCCCAATCCCATACCCATGACATACCGCCCACATCTACCTCACCGAACAGCCATCCATGTGTTGTGTTTGCAGAATGGCTTGCTCACTTCACGGCAAGTCCTCGGCGTCAAGTCAAAGTCGGTGTGATTCTGAGATGCAGAATTGAGTGTCCTTTTGGCTAACCCACCCGCCTCTCCCCACACACACTCACATACCCGCCTCAAATCTCGCAGGAAATGCTCATCGTAATCTTTCAGGTTGTTGCTCGAGATACCTTTCTGATTTGGGAGAGACACACACTGAGTTGTACCCGCTGATGAGATGGAGGGATCGATAAATGGCCGCCCATGGATGGCCACGCGGTAGTCGTCGACTGCAGCCGCCTTACCGCCGCATGCTAGGGTCAGGAAAGACGGTTTGTGGGGCCGCTGTCGTGTCGAGTCTCTACAACCCGCTCACTCTCTTGCGGGGGCCCGCCCGACGAGGGTGCCAAAGTCTGGTGAAGAGGCGGGAAAGGTTGGCAGTCTGGCAGGATTGTGTACGCTTAGTTTGGCGCTGACCGGGGGGAGGGGTGTAATGGTGTCAAGAGCCCCCCCCCCTGAAGTACGTAGTCATGTTCCATAATGAACAATCTGGATCTTCACCATGATTCGAGTCGGTAGGAATAAGAAACCACTGGCCGCCGCAGATTTCGATGGCCACAGATGGCGGCTGGGCTGGCGAAGACACTTGTCTTTAGGTGGAGAACCCGCTGCCACCCGGACTCTCCGCAAGACTCGGTCTATGGTAAGCATAATGCCGTAACGGTCTTCTTGTGTTGACTTGCAGCTCTGCTGCCCACTCATCTGCGAACCTGCTGCCGGCCGGATCACCGTCTGGCCAACCAACGGACCCCAGGTTTCTTATTCCATACAGCCAGAGAGGTATCTCATTACCCTGCCTGTCTCGTCTCGTCTGGACTCTTTACTAGACTCAACTCAAGCTTGCCGTCAAATTCAGGGATCTCCCTCCCTTTGTTAAAGCCACGCGACGATGCCTTGTCGAGTGTGAAATGCAGGAGGGTTCGCCACGCTGCATCTATCGTTCCTTTTTCTCTTTGCAGTTGCCTTTTACCGCTCAAAAGCTCTGACGACTTTGCGACTCGAACCAGCCGAGTCGTTAATGAGAAGACCCTTTGTGCTCCAGAAATACATCTCGAACCCATGTAATTGCTTGATTCTTGTTGGACCACCTTGAATCGCGGGCACGTTTCTGACTTGTTGGAGTTGGTTCTGCAAACCGTCGCATCGGGCAGCTTGCTCATCTCACAGCCTCCTACTCTGCGCCGTAAATCGCCCAACGTGCCACATATGATTGCAGGAGGCCCCTTATGATGCTGGCTCATTTTGAATGGTACTGAAGTTAGAAGATGCGCTTGCCGGTTGATGGCAGCATTCGTACTACCCCACGCAAAATGCCTGTATGTAAATCATTTGCGGAGAACGAGCAAAGAAGCCTTGTGAACGGAACGTAAGCCACGAAATATGTGTTAGCAACCTTTATCCGTTGTACCCGGTGTATCCGTCGAAACCTTTGCATTCTCTCCAGTATTCGTATCAGCCCTGGTGCTAATGAGAGGAGCTCCGTGGAGCTATTCGGCCGAAATATTTTGGGTTGCCCGTTTCTGTACGTTGCATACGGTTTTGCCAGCCCAGCGCGTGTTTTGTTGGCAATAATACCACGTCAACCTATTCGCCCTGCGGATGTGTGGCTACCCGCAGTTGTTATTCTCCTGTTTCCTTTTGGAACCTGACCATCAACCTCGTCAAGCCAATACCCGCATTGAAATTCCGAAACAGACAAGCTCGCGGCTGGCTATGGGCCATGATCGACAGAAGCATGCCGCCCGATTAAGAATCCTCTCCTTGGTTAGCACTGTCTGCCGCCTTGGTAACACCCTGAGAGTTTAGCAATTCCCAAGCACGTCACACACCCCTCCATCATCACCTCTTCTGCAGCCGAACCAAGGCTGTACTTTCCTTTCCCTGCAAGAGACACATGCAGACTAAACAATATCGCCATCCCCAGTCGTACACATGGCAATAGACCCTCGAGGCCTGGTCCATGACCGAGCTCTTCACAAGGACGGTGAGCCCTATCCGACCCTCCTATCTCGCGCTGACGCAAAGCTGCCTTTGTCCACCGCTCTTTTGACATATGCGAGATGATCATGAGCTCCTCAAGAACTGCAGCTTGGCGAAATCGATGGTGTTGTGAAGGACTTGAGAGTTGCCGTGGCCACTGGCAGTACGCCCCGTGTACGATGTACTTGCTAGACTCAACAGGAACGCTCCTCGTTGACCAGCTGAGTCAAATAGTGTGAACCTACACCGCTAGGGAGGCCAACTTCGAGCCAGATCCGAAGATGATGCTAGGGGCTCGGCAAGGACACTAGGTGAGCGATTCGGAAGATGCATCCGGCACCGATCGGACCCCACGCAGACGCTAGACTAAACCTTCTACGTAGTAGGAGAATGGTAATTCGAAATCGACCGAAAAGCTGAGCTTGACAATGGCAAGTGGGCGTTTGATGTTGTTGCGTGTCCGTCCTTTGACCGTATCGTGACAGAAAAACAATTGTGCCAAATTTAGAGAGATTGCTTTGTAGGTATGCCTGCGGCAAGGTCTGCCAAGGTCAGTTTTCTTCAGCAAAGCGTCGTACCAGATCTGATACTCATTTCGTTATTGCTATTATTCTGTATGCAAATATCCACTTCCCGGGGCCCAAGCAGGGGCCGAGCAATGAGCGAGCGAGCGAGGCTGCGTAGCCTGGAGGTGGCGGGCACGGAAGCGGACACGGATCCGCGATGTTGAGCTGCACTGTGATAAGGAATCAGCCGATATTCGAGCTCTCGCCAGTAGACCCCGCGCAACCCTTCAGGAGCCAAGATGTCAAGGGATCGAAACCAGATTACCTGTTAGTGAACGGCAGCGGCGAGGCAAGGCGAGGCGAGGCGAGGCGAGACGCAAGATACAGGCACGTCAAGCGTTTTGCATGTGCTCATGACACAGGATAGACATTGAGCACCAATGGCTGCCTCAGATACGAAATTGGATTTCTTCAGCTGAAGGAGCCGATCTTGGTTGACAAAGATCAGACGGTGAAGGTTAGGAGGAGCCATGTGCTTGCGGCGAGATTTCAGGCGAGAATTCGTGTACTGAAGGCATTCAATGGAGAGCAATGGGTGAGCAGTTGAAGTTGAAGAGATGGAACGATGAAATGGTGTGGCAGCTGTAAGATGAAAGTGACAGGGGTCTTTCTGTCATGGATTCGGGGCTAGCCGCTGCGCTGACTGGCTCGCAGATTTGATGGCACCCAGCCCGTGCCAGAGACATGCAGATGATGCATCCCGCAGCAGCTAGGCAAGTCTATCCGGCATTAGCTGCCATCGTATATCGGCCGCAAGGACGGATGGTGCGGATCGGTTTTAGTCAGGCTGGAGGACCTAGAACTTTGTTGCAGCCTTCGACCCTTCTGAACGACCCGTCGAGGAACTGTCCTTTGTAGAATCCTGAGAATGAAAAGAAGAAAAACTGCAATGCAAATGACGAAGCACGCCGCCAATGAGCCAATTCCTAGAGACGATGATGACCTGCAGCTCTGTGGGGAGAGACCTTGTCAGGTTTCACTTTTCCTTCCACCACCACGCCGAGCGCCACTCCAGCGTCGGCCTGCGAAGAGTTTTCGGCCGTGGAAAAGGACTCGTCGCCAGAGAATCGCCTGTAGATGGTTTCCTCAAGTCAGCATACTTCCGAGGACAGCATCCGAAGATTCTCGGGCGGTGGTAGAGGAATACGGGTAGGGAAAAGAAAAGATAGGGAGGGGCGGCCCCTCGGTGGGTGTCGGGCAAAAGCAAGGGTGAGGGCCGGCCAAGGTCCCATTGGATTGATCTCAGCCAGGGCGGGCGCGCGAGAGTGCGGGTTGGAGCGGGAAGTCCATCTGAGTACTTACCATCCCCTCTCTTCTCCTCCGCTCAGAAAGCTGCAATCGCTGTTGAGCTCACATATCCACCCGCCTGCGACTCCCCGACCATTCCTCCACGACTTGGTATCCGCGATTGGGCCTGTTGGTTCCATTGTCAACCGTGAGCCCCAATAGCCTGATGATGACGTAGGGGTTCGAATCCTACCATCGGTTCCTGGAGTTTTTGCTGAAGAAGAGGGTGATTTTCTCCGGTACATGCTTAATCCACAGGTAAAGGCTCGGAAATCTTCCGCATCAATACTCTCGGGCATTTCGCCAGTAAGGACTCGGCCAAGAGCAATAATCGAGGCAGCGTGGGAGCACAGAATAACTGCACGGTGGCCCTGGGCGTCGCATTGCTCAATGATGGATTGAACACCAGCAGCGACACGGTCGTGCAATTGAGCGATAGTCTCACCGTTGCGGGCGGGATAGACGCGGCTTTGATACGTGTCATCGATGTGAGGGAACATTGGCTTCAAGACGTCTTTCGAGGCTGGAGTCGGGTGCTCGAATGGAGCGGCGCCATACCATTCGCAGAGGCCGTGTTCGGGACGAATGGTGACAGCATCGGCTTTAGCGCCAACGTCTTTTTCCCGAAGGCGGTTGAGGTTTTCCTGGTTGAGAGTAACAAAGGGCGTGATAGTTTGCAGACAGCGATAGTAGGGGCTGGAATAAACTGCGTCGATTGGAGGCTCAACGGTCAGGAGGTGGGCGCCCAGCTCCTTGGCCTGGTCGACGCCATGGGCAGTCAATTCCGGATCCGCAGGTATACCTGTCGGTGACGGGATGGAGGCCGTGTAGCTTCCCGTGGCAGGGTCGACAAGCCAGTTGGACCGGAACTGAAGAACGCCAAGGCCGTTGTCAGAATGAAGTCTCTTGCTTAAAACCAGCAGGGCCAGCATCAACTGACAAATTCAAGAGAATTGCCCGCGGATCTTTATCGAGTACCAGGGTGTGTGGGTTTGGCGATGAATAGGTTGAAGAAGGTTTCATGAGTGAAACTTTTCCCCAAGCCCTCATCTTCTCAGCCATTCTCGTTCTCGTTGGAACGTTGGTTTCGGAGATGAAGCCGGATACGAAAGGAGACTGGACAGAAACGGGCAGGGGGAAACGGATACTTACTCCATGGCGGGTGATGTAGATTACTTCCAATGACATGTTGGAGACTAAAGAGCAAAGCGGAGCGTCGCAAGTTGTATCCCTGGAAGAGGACCGACCAAATGGGGATAGAAAACGGGTAAGCAACGATGGGGTCGGCCGGGCGTATAGTGTTTGTCGTCGTGTGTCTCGTGTGTGTGTGTGTGTGTGTGGACGTGTGCGTGGTGCTTGTTGGTTCCAGGATAAGGTGAGGACCGTGAGGCGTGAGGCAGAACCGGGCAGGGTTCTGTGGCTGTGGGCAGGTCAGTATCCGTATGGAGTCATGGATGTTCGGTGTCTGGTCTGGTCCAGGTCTCGGTAAATTGGGACAGGATGTGATGGAGGAGTAAGAGGAGTAGGAGAGGTTGGGTGTGCGTACGTCTGAGAGTGTTTGCGTGTGAATGAGTTTCCGTATGCGTGTGTGTGGGATGTGTGCGGGAGAAGGCGTAAGGTGGACGAAAAGAGCGGGTGTCTGGTGGCGGTTGGTTGAAGATGTCGTTCAACTAAGAGTGCGTAAAGAGCCCGGACCAGTTCCCCGTGCGCTTTGTGTTCCCCCAAACCAACGCAGTCACCCTGCCGAGGCAAATGGGACGGCAAGAGTGACCTGCCACGGGCTGGGAAGGAAGGGACCACTGGACCAGGGCAGGGCACTCGGGGTAGGCAGGGTAGGGCAGGCAGGGCCAAACCTGGAAAGAGCCTACCTACTCAGACCAAAGTGCCCTGGGAATACATTGGGAATACCTACACGCTCCTGCTTACCACCCTTACCTGGTTAGAGTGCCTGGGAAGGGGACTCTCGGTGCACCGTGATTACCTTGGTATCGTACGGATAATCAAGTACCTTTCCTAGCGAAGCTACGCCATTGGACACCTTACGCCAGTCCTCCCTAGCTTACCTCACGGGTGCGAAATACAACCACCTAGGTTGCCTTAGGTAAGTGGGGCCCACATCCTTCAGCACCTCATGGCATCCGAACACCCTCACAAGTGACGATCCTCAATGATATCCATCCATCCATCCCTCCACCGCACTACTGCTCAGGCACTCTTCTCCCGGTTCCGCCCCTGCCAGCCCGCGTTCGGGGCAGGTCACATCTCACTTTTACACCCGACACCATTGTCGAGTCCGGTCTGCGGATACTGGGTGACTGGATACGGAACCATGGGCGGCGGCTGCTCAAGGCTTGGGTAGGTAGGCTTGGGGGGACGGATGCCTGCCTGCCACGCACCACCTCACGCACCACGCACTTGTGGGTTGTCAAGAGAATCGACGAGCGTGTCAGGCAGACGACACACATTACGGAGTACCTACACACATCACGCATCATCAAAACAGGATGTGGACAGGCCGCTGACCGGGACACTGCAATGGGCATCACCCGGGAATCCCAACGTAGTATTCCACCGACCGGTCAAAGTCCCCGCAACCTGGAAGATGTGCAGGTGATCGATCAACCTGCAGCACGGGCGCCGAATGTGACAAGTCCAGGCCTCACCGAATCCCAGCCCAATTCTGCATTCGAATCCGTACAAGGCAATCCAGCGCCAATATCGTGTCGCTATTGGTATTGTCTGTGGCTGTGATTGCACGGAAAGGGGCTGCGGGAGTACTCGATGTGTACCTACACATTCTTTTTCTCACACACACGCACACACTCCCTTGCGGACTACACACACGCTCGCACGCACCGTTGAAGGAAGGCTATGCGGCAACGCATGCTGCTGACCAGGGCCTGGTCAAATCTCCGCAACACCCTTTCCGCACCCGTTGCAGAATGTCAAAGAGTCCAGAATCCATCTGCAAGAGTCCATGAATGCAGATACATAATCATGTCATAAGTATTCCGTCACAACCACCCGACGGGACATAATAAGAAACAACCCCAGCGAAACACGGGGCACATCGTCGTCGGCCGCCCGTCGCCCGTCAGCAGTCATGCTTGCAGTCGGGGCCCTTGTTCATGATGCGCCCTCTCTTCTCCTCTCATCTCCTCCCCTTGCCTCCTCCCAATCCGCCGCATCCTGTGTACCAAATCCTGATCCCGACTCCATCTCACCAACCAGGTTGCCCGCTCATAAGTAATCAGTGGTAGTTCAGCTCTGGGTTCGCCCTGAAATTGCATCGACAACGGCACTCGGGTACCGGACACTCAACGTGCCTCGTGAACCACTGCCTCGCATGGTCCAGATGCAGAACGTGTTCGCATTTCAAGCAAAACGTTGGGAAGTTGGCTGCCATCCACCTCTCCGGCTCACCGTTGTGCTCCGGTCGGTCAGACCTCGGAACGCCCACCACCTCAAGACACACAACACACCGCGGCAGATGCCGACCGCAGTTGGGACAGCTGATTCCCGCATTTATGCTCGTCGCCATAAGGGGGTTACGTGAATCAGGCGCCCCAGGCGGCGGTCCCGACCCGACTCCTCCCTGTCCAGCGAGAGTCGTCTCCGCGTCGCAGTACACGCACCGGAGCGCAATCTGGCGCGAGGGCGGCTTGATCGTTGGGCGCCCACCACGCTTGCTCTTCTTCGTGCTCTCCACCTCGAACTTGGTCCTCTGGAGGAAGGCCTTGTGCCGCTGTAGATATGTCCTGTACGCATTCCTCCAAGCCAGGCAACGGTAGTCGTCAATGTAACGTGGCGCACATATCGACATGACTAGCGTCGCCGTCTGGAAGTCGTTGAACTTCTCAACGTATTTGGCGAAAATGTCCACCAGCCTGTCCGTTATGCCCGTGAGAACAATGCCCTCAATATCTCCCGTACTCACAGCCATTGAGACCTGTTCGTTGAGCCACTTGGTGAGTTGCTCGTCGCTAAAGTTCCGCACTGCAACGTAGGCCCGGTCTGACAGGGGCAGGGACTTTTGGTTTGCAATGGCGAACCAGTCTCCCGTGGCAATTAGTGACGAGATTGCCCTTAGATAGGGGTCCGTTTTCGATGCCACGGCCTCGTCGAAATCAAGCTGCTCCTTGTTAAGGTGATGATTGCTCTTTCCGATGAGTTGCAGGGCGAGAGAGACAAATAACAACTCTGGGTGTGTTACGCTCGCCGTCTTCAGAATTCCAATCGCCTCCTGCGTGTTGCCCTTGAAGAGAGCCCGAGCTGCTGCCATCGTGTGTGCCGTTGTCGGATAGTCTTGGCTGGGATCGTGTGTCGCTGCTCCCCTGGCTTCATGTGCCGCCGTATCCCCCCATTCGCAGATATCTAGACACAGCTGTCTGTGGAAAGGCTTCTTGGTGTGGATGCCTTCGTACTTTGGTAGTCGCCGCTTCTTACAAATGTTTCCAATACACTTCTCCCACAACGTCGTTTCGGGGATCGGAGATGCCTCTGGAAGTCTGGATGATGGCTTCCGGCCTGCTACATGTTAGTCACGGATCTGGTGATAGCAGCGGACTCTTTACGGACCCAAATCATCACACCAGATGGTACAGACGCCCATATAACTAAGGTCGAGCGGCGACAACTTCATGCCTCCATCCGCTGCAGCATCTTCGGCGTCTGCTCAGGATTAGCAACAATAACCCTGGTGCGTTCGTCCTGCTCACCTGAAATCCAATCCCACATATACCGCAACCACGGATCATCGGCTACCACGACACGATTGACATTGCAATCGAAAAGGTACTTCTCCTTCGCACGAAGAAGCATGACGTGGTCTAGGAGACACTGTGCCTTCGTCGACAAGTCCTGAGCCTTCAGGGGCAGCGAAAGAAGAGATTCATGCATGTGACGACACGAGACCGGCCCATCGGTAGACAGTGATAACTGGGCGAGCGAGCTGACTGATTCTTCCATGATGGAGCTCTCGCCGCCATTCGCATCTGCTTTCCTTGCCTTCTCCTTAAGTTCCGTTCTCAGAGCTCGCATCTTTTCTGCAGTAGACTTGGACTTATCGATGGGCGACGAGGAGCTGGCATCATTGCCCGTCAACCTACTGTTGAGATCTGCTGCAGAGAACTGTGACTGCAATGTCTGATCCACGATAGTCTGAACATCGGCCTTGTCGGGGCCAAAAATGGGAATGTCGGACAGTGCTTCCTCAACAAACAAGGGACCGAGCATGTCCGAAGACTGGGACGGCTCAAATTCCATAATCTCGTGGTAAGGTCCTCCTTCTGTATGGTGTGAGCGGTCTTTATCTCTCTAAACAGTCTGGCACACGTACCTTCTAGTCCACGATGTGGTGGTTGCCAAGGTGTCAGCTTATACAGATAATCAGAGGTATACGACGGTTGTTCGAGGATCTCAAAGGACCCATTGGCCCGCAAGACGAGGAGACGAGGCTGCAGGACCGAAGAGTCGAGCGTCACCCAGTCAAAAGAGACAATTCTGTCATTCTTCCTGCCGCTATCGCCGTATTGAACATCCATGTCGTGGGATTTGTGGACCTCGAGAAGCTCTGGGCTACCTTCAAGGGCCATGTCGCGATGCGTTATCTCCTTGTTCGTCTCCAAGACCTTGAGCTGGCCGGATCGAGACAGCACAGCCAGGAGACCCCGTCGGTCTCGACAGTAGCGCAATGAACGGACGATGGAGTGCTTGCTTTCGCTCAATGAGGAATCGTCATCCATCTCAACCACTCTGTCGAGTCTCAAGGCTCCACCCCACGGAAGGTCGTCCTCGTCAACGGCGCCCAGATAAGATGGCGAGGCAACTGGACGAGACGTTGCTCGTCTATCCCAAATCATGATGCCAGGTTGATCCAGTGCGGATGATGCGAAGTAGTTCTGGTCAGCGTAATCGATGGCCAGGTTGTTGTTACACTTGGTCTGAAAGGTCACAACAGCGCCAGGTTCTGCAGTGAGATTAAATTAGCAGGTTTCTTCCGACAAATTGTGCGGTTGCTATTTACCTCGCAGGTCATGGATGTGTAGACCTTGGGCTTTGATACCGACCACCAGCGTCTTTGGGTTATCTTCAAAGAATTTAACGCTCGACACTGACACGCTGTGTTCCAGTCGATATGCTGGGTCTGAGAAAGCGTGGAGATCCTTGGGAAAGCCTTTGGCGGCCGTATTCATCGTCGACAACCTGTTTACGTCCCAAATGTGTAGACACTGATCCATGCGCACTCTATCCAAGCCAACTGCAAGAAGACCCTCGGTGTTGAATGCCACCGCCTGACATGTTCTTGTCATTTTGAGGTTCAATTCAATGTAGGCGTTGGAGTTGTCGTCCATCCTGAGCAAGTTGACGACGCCCGTTTGAGTGCCGACGGCCAGGAGACCTGGGACCGTTGGCGACCAGTCATAGGTAGTGAGCGTTGGGAAATCATCGTGCTTTGAAAGTCTTGTGTAATCGAAGCGGTTCCTCTGTGCAAGTCCGGTGGGCTCATATAGCTGCACGACGCGATGTTGCAGGTTTATGTGGATAAAGCTGTCGAAGCCGGGTATCTGCGACCATTTGATCAGTCCAGGCTCCGGGCGGTCCATGGCGACCGCACGCGCCTGAATATCGTAGTGAGCTCGGCCTTCTCCTTTCTAAGTCGAATAGCGAGAGAGAGAGACCTATATCAACAATGAAAGTCGAAAGAGCGCTCATCCATGAGCTGCCTGGACAAGCCCGTGAGTGATGTGAGCCGTACTGGATGAACTGGTTCGCTATAAGCTGCGCGGTAATGGCGTTTTGCCTGAGAAATTCTGAGATTGTTATGGTCCCAACACCGATTAATGAATGATCTTGAAGATGAGGTATGCAAAGAGAAGTTCCATGCCAGTAGTCGCTTTCAATCAGGTATCATCTGGAGTCGCTGGAGCTTTGGGTGGAACTACTTTACTTTGAGATCAGTGAGCCGTTGTAATTGGGACCTGTCATTGGCGCGCACAGACCAGTCACATTACCAGTCCCATTTGGGACTGATAAGCACCCCAGGTGGGGTCGGCAACTTCCTTGAGGCCGATAACGAGCCAAATTTTTGAAAGAGAAGTTCGCGATGCCATCGTCAGTTCTTCATCCTCCATACAGCATTCTGGCCGACCTCAACCGACCACATCGCAACACCACAATTCAAACATAAATCACGAAGGATATTCACTACACAATCGATAGAAATGGGCACGAAACGAGCGTATTCTGAGGTCGCCGCGGAGGGTACAATCCCGGACGACACCCACGAGCAACAGCAGCAATCGGGCTCGGAAGACGGCGAGCACGAGAACAAGCGGTTCAAGACCACCAAGAAGAAGTCTAGGGCGAAAGAGGGCACAACAAACTGGAACAAGACGCGCTCGAGAGATATCAGAAGACTCTTGCAGAGCGGCAAGCAACTGCCCGCTACGAAACGCAATGAGCTGGAACAAGAGCTGGAGGCGCTGCAGGAGAGAGTCGAGGAGCACAACTTCAAGAAGAGGAGAGGCGACATGATTCAGAAGTACCACATGGTTCGATTTTTTGGTTCGTCTTCGTTATTCCTTGCATCAATGTCTATCAGCTAACCCCGTTTCTTTTTTCCTTTGCAGAACGGAAAAAGGCAGAGAGACTACTGAAGCAGCTCCGCAAGAAGCTCCAGCAATCCGAGGATCCCGAAGAAAAGAAGCGCCTCGAGGCCGAGGCCCACGTGGCCGAAGTCGACGTCGCCTACGCCCGCTTCTTCCCCCTGATGGAGCGCTACGAGAGTCTGTACCCCAACAAGGACAAGAACGCCAAGGAGCAGGGAGACGAGGACAAGGTCGAGGAAGAGCAGCAGCAGCAGAAAGAGCAAGCGGAGGCGGATGCGGATGCAGATGCAGATGCGAAACCCTCCAAGCAACCCAAGGCCCTGCAGTTCCTCCACGCCGAACGACCTAAGATGTGGGCAACGATCGAAAAGGTCCTTCCGGAAGGCGAGGTGGCCCTGTACCGGCTGCGCGATCGCAGGTCACCGGCGGACGGCCCCGCCAAGCGCCAGGCCCGACCGCAACGGCCCGCGAGACAGACGCAACAGACCCGGCCGCAGAGAGTCAAGGAGGAGGACCCTTGGGTGGCCAGGTCGAAGAAGACGTTCGAGAAGAAGAGGGATCCCAAGCAGCCGATGAACCGGAGGGAGCGCAGGGCGGCTGACAGGAAGGCCCCCGCGAAGGTGGAAGAGGAAGATGACGGCACGGGCTTCTTTGAGTGAGGCTCGGAAAAAGAAAGCAAGCAAGGTGTTGAGCGTTTTGGTAGTCAATAGTATACCCCCTAAAAGTTTTATGGGATCAGGTCAATGGAAACCACACTTTGATAACATTGTCAGCTCGAGCACATTTACTGCTCGTCATATCGCGTATTCTACGGCTGCCCAGTGTTAGTTGATACATGTCGTTTGAAAGTCATCTGAAGTCATACTAAACCTGCAGTCTTAACATTAGGTATGCTGAAGACCAGGCTGCAATAATGTTTAGACCAACATCTATGATAGGCGGATAAACGACGAATCACGTTCGCCAGATTGATTTGACTTCCATTGCAGGTGCGTCACGGTCGTCACCACGCAGAAGTGGCAGCCTCCTGCAGAACACCGTTTTGGCCCAGCCAAGAGAAGCAGCCACACTGGACAGAGCGGCCAGAAAACGCAACCCCACCAACGTGGTTAACCTTCACCCGCCTCAACCCCTCCGTTTCCTCCTTCTCATACATCAAGAAGAGAGCATCTAATGGAATACAACATGATTCTCATTCATGTTCTTCAGCTTTAGATGCCACATAGACATCCTCTCATTTTCACTCATAACCTATCGTCACTCGTGAAACCAAAGACCATAGCGCGCACCATAGCCGCAGCCGCAGCAACTTTAACATACGGAAACGCACACTCACACCCACGCGCGCAATATACACACGCAATGGCAGGAGACCCGTCGTCAAACGGCACAGCCGTCCAGCGCGTAGACTGGTCGGCCCTCCGAGCCTACATTGCCGGCAAGGAAGCTTTCGAGGCAGAACACGGCCGCCCCGCCCCGCTCACGGATCACGAGGTCTCGGCCATCGCCATCCTCCTCCGTCCGGCCCCGCGACCGGAACCGGACTTGGGTAAAACGAACTGGCTCGGCCTGTTGAATCGTGAGTTGAAGCACTTTTCTTTATACACCATACACTTCTCTTTACAATTCCCTCATTCTCCGCATCGGATCATGTATCTATTCGAGGCTGGGAAAGCAACCTCTTCCCCTTTAACCCCAGAGCATCAGAATTTCTCTTGATCCGAAGCATTAAACCACCTTCATCGAATTTAATTTCCTCAAACCCATACTAATCAAATATTCAAAACATGCAGATTTCCAACAGGTCAGAAACCAAAAAGTAACCTTCACCGACGAAGCCCGCCAGGAACAGGGCCTAGGCAAGGCCAAAGAGCTCCGCTGGGCCTGCTCAGCAACGTTTGACAGCACCGGCGACGTCTTCCCCCAGCCGGGCTACGGCATGGACGCCGGCGAAGACGTCTCCCGCGGCGGCGCCGGCCCGTCCTTTCCGGGCAAGAAGGACGCGAAGCAGTGGGCGGCCAAAGCAGCGTGCGAGTGGCTCATTGACAACGGGCACATGATGCCCTCGGGTGACCTGCCAAAGTTTCCCAAGCCGTTTGCCCCGGCTGCTAGTGCTGCCCTCGCTGCCGCCGCTTCTGCTTCCGCTCCAGCTCCAGCTCCAGCTCCTTCTCCCTCTCCTAGTCGTGGCGTCTCGTCCGGGTCAGTCCTACCCTCCAAGAGATCCCCGCCGAGCTCGCCGCCAACAGAAAGCAGTGCCGACGCGTCAAGGAAGAAGCAGGACACAAACCAACCTCCAAAGACATCTCCATCGCTACCAACTCAGGCACCCACCGCAAGCAACAGCACCAGCAGCAGTCTTCCCAGTCACCAAGCATCACCTCCCACATCCACTCAACCCTCCAGAGCGCCGAAATCAACTCTCCCCCTCAACGTGACAGCATCACCAACCTCCGCTGCCGCCCAAGACTCGACGACTACATCCACGGCGAGTACACCCTCTCTCGGCGGCGCCGGCGTCCCTATCACCACCGCCGCCGCCGCCGCCACGCCGCAGTCCCAGGTCCCCACGCCTGCCATCTCTCCCGTGCCAACCTCAACACCAGCACGGGTATCAACACCTGTAACGCCAGGGCAAGAGTCGGCAACAGCAACGACATCAGCAGAGAGGCGCGTCCGCGACCTCTGCGCGCAGCTCCACTTCCCCGTGCCGCGGTACGTCTTGACGCCGGACCCAGCGCTCGAGGACTTCTGGGACGGCCGCGCCGACTTTGACGGCAACCCGCGGATCCCGGACGACCTGGGTACCGTCCGGCGGGTGTTGCATAAGAAGGCTGCGAGGGAGAGGATGGCGGATGCGATTGTGATTTGGTTGGAGGGGGAGGTCGTGAAGAGGGAGAGGACGGCTAAGCTTCTGCTAGGGAAGTGATTGTATGACGGATAGGGGCGAGGGTTCGGGCGGTTTCATGGAGACTTGAGTGGTGATTATGAGCTTGTAGATGGATTCTTGCGAGTCACCTTTGTAGAAAGGGGGCATGTCAGATATGAGGAGCTTTGAACGCAGAGATACATAGGGGGTCGAGGTTCGTTGGCCAAAAGTATGCCAACAGCACAGCAACAATCGCTTCGCTTTCATGAGACTTGCTAAGGGGAAGTTGTGAAAGGACCGCCAGCTACTCATTTCATAACTCATATCCTTCTTCACGTTTGACTAAAACGAGTAGTCTTACAATGGCCACGGTAGGACGTCTTCTGTACTCGCGGGTCCGGAGGTTCATCAAACTGAGGTTGGTGGGCCGTAGATCCTAAGAGTCCTCCTTTTGCAACTCGCGGAAACCACATGTCTATGCCTAACCCATCTGTCCCTCTGCAATGTGTCTAGGACTTTCTTCCGCTTCACCATCACCACCTCAAGCCTTCCCTCCCCTTCTCCCACCACCACCACCCCTTCCGCCTCTCCCCTTCCCAGGCGGCGCCCTCATCCTCAACCCCTCAGGCAACTCACCAACCTTCTCCCCATCCCTCCAAAGCACACCAACCCCGCTCCCCTCGTCCCTCGCAACAACCTCCCTAAACAACCGGCACGGCACAACCCCCTCCCCATCCCCCTCCGTCAACACGACCCCGTTCTCACTCACCCACCACTTAATCCCCTCCTCCTCCCTCAGCGCCCTCTCGACATCAACATACACCAACACCTCGGCATCCTTCCTCATCCCGCTGACGACGCCCTTCTCATCGCCGGGTAACCCCGTCGCAAAGTGGACGTGGTTCCGCCCCATCCTCTTCAACCCGCCCGACGCCTCAATCTGCTTCCAAAACGCAAAGTACGTCCCGTGCACCACCACCGCCGGCACGTTGCCCGCCTCGAGCGTGAGGGGGGTCAGCAGGCCCGCCGACTCGACTTTGATACTGTGGCCCTGGTTCGCGCGGATCAGCCAGTCCGAGGGCTCGGTCGATAGCTCCTCGCTCGTCTCCGCCGCCGCCGTGGGGTTGAGCTTGAGTGCGAAGCGCTGCTTGTCCGACGTCGTTACCGCGGCTTGGATGTCGGAAAAAGTTACCTTGAGAGACTTGATGGGTCCGTATGCGAGCTTTTTGTATCCTCGTTAGTAGCTGTTGATGAGTTTGACCATGAGACGGGAGAACCATCATGTCTACCCTCCAAGAAGACAAATTCTTCCCTGATTCTTATCATCTCTCATTTATGAAAAGGGAAGTTAGAATCCTTCAAGACTCACCACCTTGTCCAGAGGTGCATACCCGCCCTCGTCAAGCTTGAGACCCGCGTTCTCAGCCTGGTGCCTCAAAAGCTTCGAAAGCGCCTTGGAAACCAATACCTCCCTCGGCTGACCCCCTCCTCGACCACCACCGCCTCCCCTTCCGCCTCTGCGTCCTCCTCCCCCTCTCTTCTGTTGCTGCGCACTGTCGCCAGCCGCGGGGGCAGTCTCTTCAAATTGGTCGGCCATTTCTCCGTTTTTCTGGGCCCACGATGATCTAAAGTGAGCTGGAAACAAAATTGAACCGGTGAACCTTTGAGGTTCAAAAGTCGTCTTCCACCTGGTGTAATTTCTGGTGTTCCCTCTCGCGGTCGAGGAAGGTGGTGCAAGTGGGGTCCGCGACTGAGTAGCAAACGTCGCTGAGGAGCGTAAACTCAGCGGTCTCCTTGAACTGAAGCCACGAGAAGCGAGCTGTTTGGTTCGTCTGGAAGAAGAAGAAGATCCAAAGAGGCGGTTTGGCATGTGTGAAGACGTTGGATGAGAAGAAAGCGTGTAAGACGTCTTGTGTATAAAACCTCAGTGTATGCAGGTAAGGTCGGTCGATGTGTAAAGTCGGAGTTGGGTTTGGCCCAAGACCCGCTTAAAAAAACAGCCCTCCTTTCCATGGTGAGTGGCTCATCCAATGAACAAAGCCCCCCTTCACCTGTCAAACATACTTTCACTTCCTTTTGGTCTCGCCGCCGGTGAGTCAACTTGTCAGCTCAACCAAATACCTCTCAATACAACGGATGCAATGGCGGCCTCGGACGCTCACGCATTAGGGCCCTGGCGTGTTTATGGCTGGTCCGCTGGCGATGTGACCAAACTCAATCGCAGCGCTAAGGCGTCCCAGATGTACATACTCACAGTTGCATGGAATCTACATCCTACCTTATGCGCAAAACGTCACATCTCTTACAACATCACGTAGTCTCTAGCTGAGAAAGAAAAATTGACCAAACAAGTCAGAAGCATCCTATGCTTATGTCCTTGACCTTTTGTTTCCTATGGACTGCCCGATATACAAATGCTCTACTCCAGCCTGTTTTTTTTTAACGGGAAAGGCGGATCCCAAGAAATCAATCGGCCTTCCCTCGTGGATTGTCATACAAGTACAGAGTAACCGCTGCCGAGCCCATGCGGTGTTACCATATGCAAAACAAGAATGACGCCAGCGTGAGAATAAGACATCTATGATACATTCATCCGTGTGACTGTGATTCGTAAAGACGTTATCGGTAACTGCCCGACTGAGCAGCCGTTGATGAATTCGTTATCGTGCTGTCGCGATTCGGTCTGCGGCTAATGCTGCTAGCCCGGTTCAGCAACGAAGTGTGACTGAGAGAAAAGTGTCGCGGCTGCGCAACAACCTGTTGCGGCCGTTCTTCGGTGACTTTCTCAGCCGAGGAAGGTTGTTCGCGTTCTGGAGTTCTTTCCAGATATCGGCGCGTCGCCAGCGATGGTGTGGAAGGCGCAACCAGCCGAGAAGTGATAGAGGAAGCTCCGAACCGTCTGCGAGGCAGGGCAGAAGAAGCTGGTGATGAGAGTTCGTTGGAGTTGGTGTTTGAGAGGTAGGTATGAGAGACTGCGCGGGCCGGTGTGGTGAGCTCTGTAGCAGCGCGGGACGGGGCGCGAAATCTAGATTCATCTTCGTCTTCGCCGCCCACAGTTCCCCTGCGTGAGCGAAGAAGTGAAGTTTGACGTCCATTCTCGCGGCCTGCTGCTTCGCGTGAATCCTCCGGCTCCTCTGTGCCTGCTCGTCGGGTCCTCAGCATAGAAGACCTGCGGCCATCCTCAGGCTCTTCGGTAACAGCACGGCGCGAACGGCCAATGAACAAGGATGACTTTCGGTTCGCCATTTTGCTGCTGTCGCCGGGGGTGCTAGGAATGGTGCCGGGTGGAAGGGCAAACCTGGGACTGGGGAGCGAAACCGGGTTAAGCATGGTGTTGCGCCTCTCTTCGTATTTTGAGAGGGCCCTCGGGCTCGTGACCGTGGTAGCATTGGCCTTCGGGAGAGTCTGCTGCTCGGCGGACGTTATGCTAGGACGTCGCTGGCCAGATGATCCGCCGGTGAAGGTCTTGTTGATAGTTGGTGTGACTGGTGTCGTCGTTTCCTTTGGTGTAGGAACGTTGACTTGGAGAGTCTTGTTGCCAGCCGCTTCTTCGCTCAATGCCAGGACTAACTCTGTAAGGCTTCGGCAGATGCTGTCAGCCTTGCGTCGTAATTGACGATCCGTCAGGCTGGTGCCGACGCCAATTGTGCTGGCACCGCTGGAGATGGGCCCGGGCTGACCTGCCGTCCCCATCATGTTGGCCAGTGCCAGGGCGTCTGTTGCTGCCACCTCGAGTGCCTTGGCCACCTCTTCACTAAGGAATGGCTTGGATTTATTGACAGCAGAAAGAAGGATGGGTTGCTGGACCTCGCGTTGTGAAGACGTCGTGCTAATTGCGTCGGTGTGGGGATGCTGGCTTTCGGAAGCTCGTTTCGGCGAGGTGGACATGGTCGTGTTGGTTGCGGTCGGCGGGCGATCGTCTGAGGCTCTTGACATTGCGGCGCCCGACGTCTTGGGTAACTTGCCGGTCAATTCCAGGCGATGGATACGGGACTTGAGATCATCCAATTCATCCCACACTGTCGACGGTGCGTTTGTCGATGCTGTCGCCGTCGATTCGGTTCCCTCGACTGTCGTTGCTGCGTCTTGGTGCGTTTCGGTGCGTGGTGCTTCTATCGATTTAGGAACCAATGGCGAAGAGTTATACGTACGCGTTTGGCCATATGACAAGTTGGATTGTCTGTACGCCGAGCTGCGCGCAGAGTAGCCGGTGTTGCTGTCTGTCAAAGAAGGCCTTCTCCGTGCATATGGAGAGTTCTCTCCCATCGGATCCTGAAAGGTAAAGGACCGGGGTGTGTTGACGGTTGAGCGAGACGAAGATTGATGGAATGTCTTTACGCGACCAAGGTCTTCGCCGGGATGCGCGGATGAAGGCCGGTCTCGGGTCAAAGGCGATCGGTACGCCAACGCGCGAGCCATTGGGTCAGCAGTGCTGTCGTCCTCTGACGATTGGCGTATTCTCTTCTTGGAGGTTTCTTGTTGATCGGACAGACGGCGACTGATTTGGGGTGGGGATACAGGATGATGATAAGACAATGGAACAGCAGCGGAGAGGGGTCGGCGATGCGAAGATCTTGCGACACGGGCCTGTTGTTCATCGTCAGTAAGCTCACGTTCATCCATGGCGAAACTCTATCAACATATCCAGTACGCCAGGATTAGCGTCACCGGAGCGTGGGAAATGAAGCAGCGCTAGAGAGGTGGTGGACTATCATATCCAAAAGGGGAATTTGAATAGGAAAATGTGGGAAGAGCGGGAAGATCAAGCAAAAAGATACGGGAAGACGGCTTGATATCGTGGCGAACAGACGCCAGCCATCGCAGGGCACGGCCGTTTGCATCGCGCTAACATATTTCCCGAAACAACAACGCAAACCCATGAAAGATGGCTAAACTTACTATGGCACTTGGCTGCTCCGCTGGCGCAACCTCTTTAGAGCCACGGCGCGTTGGTTCCTGTCTGGCGATTTTCATAAAGACGTCACCGGTCGTGTCGTCGGCGTCGGCTGACAACGGCGGTGTCATTTGCGAATAGTCATCGTCGCGTCGTCCTTCAAGGGCGCGCAGAGTGCGGTCGCGCTGATTGGAGTCGGCGTAGTCGTCGCCAAAGTCAAAAGAGCGCATGGTGGAGGTGCTACTGTCAAGTCCCAGACTTCGACGAGACCCGGATGAGCGAAAGGAACGGATGGGAGCCACGCGCACCGAGGTGGTCGGGGTGCTGGCGGTGGTGGCTTTGAAGGATACGGGGGGTCGCGAGGCTATCGACTTTCGTTTTTCATCTGTCGGGCTTGCGTTCTCCAAAGTCTTTGGCAGTATCAGCTCACGCTGTCCCTTGGCCCAGTCCTTTGTTGTTTTGTCGCCTTGGGGTTGAGCGACGTCGTCGGGAGTGTCGGGGGCTTGCGAGTGATCGGTATCTGCGGATGGTGACTCGCTATCGGTCGCATTCGACTCGCGGGATCGGTATGCAGCCGCACGTCGAGTTTGCAGTCGGGAGAGAGGGGCAGCAGGTGTCTTGAGATCTGCGACGTTGCTGTGGGATGAGATGGACTGCACGATGACGGGGCGGTCGGGATAAGACGCGGGCCGTCTTGGTGAGGTGGCTGAAGCTGCAGGGGTGGACTGGGTAGCAACCTGATACGTTGATGCGCGGGAACGAGGGCTGAGTTTTGGAGGCGACTCGGGCAGTTCGTGGATAGGACTCGAAATCCGAGGTGAGAGCTGGGACAATTGGCGATGGGAGGGACGCCGATCGTGTAGTCGAAGTGAAGTCGAGTGGGTGTTTTGGGGTGGGATGTTGTTTTCCGGGTCGACGTTGTGTTGTTGTGGCTGCTGGTGGTGCAGCTGCAAGTCTGACGTTGTTGGCAGGGTGGTGGGAGAGGCGGTGTCAGTGTCGGTGGTTATGCCAATGCCAATGTCAGTGTCAGTGAGGGCGTCTGTGTTGGTGAAAGTGATTGTGTCGGTGGCAGTGCCAATCGCAGGTGCCGAGTGAAATTCGTTGGATGTTGGAGTCGATTTAGGCGAGACAGGCGACAGCGGGATGTGGTGCAGTAGTGAGGGGAGCACTAGGCGTGGGGATTGGTATTGCTTGTGTAAGTCGGCGAATCGAAAAGCGGGAAGCTTGGACGAGTTGTGGCTCAGCCGATGTGCGTGATAAGGTGAAGAAGGTGAATTTGCTGAAGATGTCGCAGAAAGTGAGGGAGTATGGAATGCAACAGCACTTTGCGAAGAGAATGAGGATGAAGGAGACGCGGACGCGGACGCGGATGCGGATACCGTAGCAGAAGAGAGCTGTGTGGGATTCAGAGTCGGGGCATGGCCCGCAGCTTCGAAACCACCATCTGCTGGTACTGGTGCTGCTGTTGCGGGTGCGGGTGCGGGTGCTGGTGCTGGCGGTGCTGCTGTGGCCGTGGCCATGTTCGCGTCGGGGGGGGGGGGGGCTGTTAGGGGTCGGGTGGTGCCTCTGCTCTCTCTCTCAGTCAGGAAATCCAGGTTCGGGGTCCGCTTTCAATTCGCTTCGGTCGCTGCGCCTGCGAGTCTGGCTGGGCTCCTTTGTTTTTCTTCCCCTTCTTTTTTTTCGTCCTCGCCCTCTTTTTTTTCGTCAGTTTCCCTGGGCCGGGGGTGAGCTCTTTGCGCTGTTTGTCTCTGACTGACCCCAGTCCACCAAAGTCGAGGGCCAGTTCCTATGGGAATCCACCCCGTCCAATGAGCAACCGGTCGCGTTCTGTGGCTCACGGGTCGATTAGTGGTGTGTGCACGCCTGCAGGCGTTTGTTTGCTGATAAGCGTTATCGTTATTTCTTTTTTTTCGTCTCCCAACGGTTACTCTTTTTTGTGGTTCTGCGATGCTGCAGATTTTGTGACTCTGGGATGTTCGTTGTTGCTGTCCCCTCTGGGCCTCTAGCGGTTCGTGCGTATGTCTAATTTCCAGATGTCGAAGCAACCTTTCTCCTCTGCCACGTCTTGCTGGTTCTCCTCCTGGTGAAGTCGTGTGTAGGTAGTTTCGCGGGCAGTATGAGTAGATCGTTGCTCTCGTTAATTAGCAATTAGCAGTTGATGTACTACAATGTGTATGTTCCGATCGCCCATCAGGTGTTCGTTCGGATGATTTGGATGGGCGTATGCACGTCGGCGTCTAGCGGGAAGTGTCTCACTGGCTCGTCGGGTGATACGTGGGAGTAGTGTGCGAGTGTGCGAATTAGCGGCGTGGGAGCTTTGCGGTATTCGTGAGTTGCAAGTGGGAGAGCAGATGCATGCGTGTGCGTGTGCGTGTGTTTTATTAGAAGTTGTCGCTGTTGTCGAAGAGAAGGAAATCCAAGAAGTGTTTGGTGGTGGACGCCCGGCGTTCTCGATGCGATGGACAACTCAGTTGTGTGTGGGAAAGGGTGGAATTGGACGGAAATGAGTGAGCGATGGGGCTGGTGGCAGAAGGAGCGGAGGAGGCAGATGGCAGACGGCAGAGAGCGTTGTGAGAGCGGGAGCTCGAAATTAGTATTAGAATCGGCAGGAAGGAGCGTCGTGAACAAGTCCAGTGCGAATGCGGATCGAGGAAGCAGGAAGCAGGAAGGAGGGGTGTGAAAGCAACGGCTTCCTCGCCTGGTGTCTTGTTTTCTGGTGTGTGGTGTGTGGTTTTTGCCTCAAAAGGTTAAGTCTGGCCCAATCCAGACAGTCGGATAGACAAATGGGAGAAGGAAAGTTGCAGTCGATTCGGGGACTGGACGGGACAAGAAGAAGATGGGACAGAAGCTAAAAAAGGGCAAAGGTAAAAATGGAAGTCAGATCAGAAAGAAAGAGGAAGTTTGGTCATGGATCGTCGTCTACCTTACCTGACTGACTACATGTTTTTCCCACTCACACCTCCTTCCTGCTCCTCTTCTTCCTTTGCTCTTTCTGTCGTCTTCTCTGCCTTCTGCGGGGAGAGAGAGAAACAGACCCGGCAAAGCAAGGTACCTCAGGTATCTCGTCGGCCACCGCAACTTTACTTTACCTTACCTTACCTTACCATCTGGCATCATCCAGTACCTGGTATCCAGGTTGCGTGCTCCAGATACCCGTCTGTACGAACGGGTATGGATGTGGATATGGATGCCTCATCCCATCACTTTCAACCTGCAGCTACAAGACCTGAACAGCTCGGACCTCTTCTCAAGTCCCTCCGGTACCTCTACCCGTACACTGGTATCCCACTCTACTGGAAACCTCAACTGGCCTGTGGATAGTGCTGCGTACCTTGAGTACTTACAAATACGTATTTGTTCGTCCGTTCCCATTTGATCATGTCCCTTCTGTTCTCGCCGACTGGGTGACAATATTCCTCGGGGGCCTGCCATTTACGACAGATTCTTGCGGAAAGAGTGAATAGCTAAGACCGGAACCTCCCGTTTAACGATACATCTATTCGCACCTCACTTACAGTCACACCTCTTCAAGATGCAAAGCAAAGCGTGTTTCGTAGTTCGATCCAGCATAGCAGATACTACCGCTCATTTGTAACTCTGTTCAACCTCGTCTCAAACTTTCTGCTTCTAGATGCTACGGATACTACCCTCTCGAAGACCTGGCATACAGCAACTACAGCACATTTTACGGATACCTCGTCACAATTCCACGCCTGCCCCGGTTTCCGAGTCCTGAGTCCTGACTGATGCCCATGTGCTTCAGGCTTCAGCCGTGATCCTCGCCTGACGACCCCGGCCACCAAAAGCGACATACATATCAACCGCATCCACAATGCACCACTTCAACGCGGCAGACAACCATCCAGAAGCCGCCAGCAGATGGGTTTCGTGGATCCCTATGGCGGGCCGTATGCGCTCCCGCCACCTCTCCGGTAAACCTGTCCCTCTGATTTCGTTGCCGAGCAGTGAAATGGGTCGAGGCACCAATCATCAACACACCGCCCTCTTCCCTCACTCCGCTTAACCTCGACATCCACCAGCCATAGATTTTGTTTATAGACCCATGGACAGGCACTGTCAGGAGTACGGAATACTGGCACCATATTTCTACTTCACGGCGTAATCCGTACGTATGATCCAGATCTTCAGCCGCGACTGCTTCGACTGCTTCTCATCATCTCTAAAGATATCGTATGCTCGAAACCTGGGTTCTCCCTCTCTCCCTCTCACAGGTACGGATACCAGACAGACCAAAGGCCCCGAGTCCCGCCGTTGAGAAAACAAAAAGGCCAAGACCATTTTGGTGGAGATGCCGCAGGGAAGTCCAGCACCTTAATCAGGACAAATGAGCTGTGAGGACAGGGATTTGCGGCTCTCGGGCAACAAGCCTCCAGGGGTCTTTGATGTCACTCACAGCTCGACCGTTCGAGGTGGCTGGTTGGCCCAGCTGAAATAGGGGATGGCTCCTCGACCGGTTCCAAGCCAGCCTCTAGCTTCGGTCAAACCATCGCTGACGGTCGTCTTAGCGTTTCTCAACTTCAGCTGCAAACCAAGCCAAAGAGGTCACGGGCTTTGGACTCGTGCCTGTCTCAAACATGGAACATCGATGCTGCGGCGCTGCTACTCTGTCCGTACTGCTCCAAGATTCCGAGTCGCAGAATCTGGATCCTGTCTACTCCGTACAAATCTTTGTATAAGAGCAGGAGAAAACACTCGCAATAGAGAGCTGAGTATAACGCTGGCAGAATTTGCAAACCCTTCTCAACGGCCGGCAAGATAGGGGGATCAGGTGATAGGTAATTTGTGCCAAATTCGATCGAAAGAACATAGGCATTCCGAGGCATGAGGCGGCACTCCACTCGTTTATGGCTAGGTATACGAAGATTAGTCACATCGGGCTCGTCTCTTGAGATGATCTACCCGTATGAACAGACAACAGACGAAACCTCGCAGCCAAATCTTTTGGATTCACACTCGGACTCGTGGGGGCACGACGGCCGCAAATGCAGACGTCTGATTGACAGCTGCCTGCCAAAGGGTGCCTCTGTCATTTTGCGCTCAGTGCTCCCCAACTAATTTCTGTTTCCTCCAAGCTAGTCGGCACCAATGCAACATGGGACGAGGCTCGAGCTCCTCTCCTCGCAATCCACCTGCGACGGCGCCGACCTGTCACTTTGCAGTTTTCCACTTCCTCGAGATCCGAGTCCTCGACTCCTCGCCACGGCAGAGAAATGACATTACGGAATGCAGACCCCCGGATATGCAGTCACAAGGGGTCTGCAGGTCATCACCAGTGACTTGACTCCCAACATGCAGGAGGAGCGAAACACCCGCCACTGTGCTATCCGCGCCAACGCGCAGCCAGTTTTATTCTTTGTGCTACCACTCGAGTGCTTGCAGCCTCTCTGACGGCCTTTCTTCTTGACTAATTGTTGCTGCTGGGGAGGTGTCCAAATGGCATAGTTGGCTTCCACGCAAAGCAAACATGGATTCAACCTGGGTGATATTTGCTGTCCCTATGAGATGGAGACGCTAGCGATGCCGATCACCGTCAAACCGGGGCTCGACGACCAGGATACTAGAATGAGACTTCGATGAGGTGCAGAATTGCCAGCCACGCAAAGCTCAAGCAGGAAACGCAATACCGCTCGCCCGTTCGTATATCTGAACTGGATACGGATACAGCTGGGGCGATCAACTAATTTCCTAGGTTCCAGAACTTAGAAGTACTGAGTCGTGTGAAAGATCGGCTGCAATATCACATTCTAGAGAAAGTCGGTTTCCTGTGGCTCCAAAGCCACATCGCACTCCGCATCGAGTGTGTCTCAACCTTCCAACCACATCAAACGAGACATGCATTGCATTTCTTCAGTCGTGCGACACTAAACCAAACCATGCTCTCTAAACTATTTCTGCTACCACCCAAGAAGCAGTGATAGAACTTATCAAATGCATCAGCACGCATGTCCCATCACTTCTTCGGCCAAAGATTATTCTACCTTCACCATCGCCAGGGTCCTAAAAGTAGTTTGAGCGGCTACCGCTGTCCGCGGCATTCCACGGTCACAGCGGATACATTGCCTTCTCCCGACTATATTCTGACATCGAAAGGAAGAGCCGTGCCGTAGTGGTGTATTGCCCCTTTACACTGCTTGAAAAGAAAGTTTCCCTTTGCTTGTCATAACACGCAGGGGTGCACTTGATCGTCGCTAATGAGCATCACATATCGACATAGAATCACTTGGGTCGTTTGGCAATCCTCTCCCTTGGGTTCGAAACCAGCAGCACAACAAGAACACTGTGGGCCCATCAGCCGCGTTCGCAATGGCCCGGGGACAGTTCGTATCTAGCAAGGAAAATGATGTCGGGTTCTTCCTCCTCTCATACGGATACGAGCAGGGATACTTGCAGCCGCACGGTCTTCCCGCCTGATGGTTGCGCGTCAGCAAAATGAGTTGGAAGTCCAATGAAGTCGGGGAGACCTGTGAATAAGCTCACCTAGCGGTCTTTGACGAAGCGGGTGCTTGAACAGATCGCAGTAATTTTCTATGTATCCAAGTCTGATGGGCGTCAGATTCCAGTAAGCCCTAGTTGAGAATAGACCCCGGAACACTTCGGTAAACGTTCCGGGAACATAGACAACCTCACATATAGTCGGCAAACATATCCCGAGGAAAGGCAGTCACGGCCGAAGAGTGGCTATTGCCTCACAACGCTAGCCAGCATCCACGGATCTCGAATGCGCGGAACCAAACGAAACATTTATGTGGTCCTCCTATACCTCTTGAGTCGTATGTCTGGAGGCGGGCACTCTGGACGAACCATGGGTTCGATCTCACGGTTAAGAATTCAGCTTGTTTGAGGCTTGCGTGGCCGGGCATCTTCCCCCTTTTCTTGTCAAGCATATTCAAGTATTAGATTATGCGATGCTCTTTGTTGCGTCTATTCCCTACGAAGTAATCATTATCATTGTGTGATACTCTCGAATGATGGACGTCTCTTGGAGTGCAGTTGACCAACGCACCTTCATATTCTGATACGCGATTTGCTTGCCGTCAAGTCGCCGGCTGAGTCCTTGATTGCTCTCCAATGATGACTGCAACAAAGGGTAAGAAGCCTTGCAACTTGAAGCGGATATCTTAAGTCCGAAGGCTAGATTTGAGGAAAGGGTCAAGAGAGAGCCTTATTCTGGGGCTCAATCCGAGATATCATGTCCCCTGAAGCTCGCGGATGGACGGGCGGGTGGGCAGTCATACCGTCTCCAAAAGTTTATTCGCAGGGCGAAGTTTAATCATGAGAGCCATCGGTTGATCGGACGCATTATCTGACATCCGGCTCTTGTGAGTCCTTTCTTGGCTGGTTTGAAGCCTATCTTCGTTGCTCGGTCGTGGTTCTCCTCGATCACTCAGCCACCCTCACCAGCCCTGTATGTCTCTTCTTCCTTGACCTACCTGAAGGGAATGGTATACGGATGTTCCATCCCAACTCTGCACCCCTCCTTTGGATTCCCGAGGCGAGCGTGAATGATGAGGACGTTATCCCCCCTCCATTCTTTCCTATTACTCTGGGACTTTATTCAACATCATGCGTGATTGGGATTTTGTGTTGATGGTGCCGAATATGATGTTCCTCTCAGTAGATTCCCATCTGATATGGGAAGGGCGGTTTTCGTCCGCCAAGGAACTGCCAACATCCATACGATATTTGTTCGCGAGAGAATCGTAAGTACCCATTCGATCTGTGAACTTCTACAAGTTCTGTTGGTCTTGGTACGCTTGGCTCTTCCGGTATCCGAGGTTTCTTGTCCGGGCCAAGCTTTTCGGAGACACGGCGAGCGAAGAAAAACCTCGTGAGGAGAGCATCTAGATCTTGGCTTGTTCTCAGTTCAAGGTTTGTCCGCCTTGAATCTACAGAGCTGAGGAAATCGCCGGAGAGGCGTAGAGCTGATAAGGCTGATGGGTGGGCTTGCTTACTGGAGGTATCCAAGGGCCCGTGTTGTCCAAGGAGCGGTAGTATTGATGCCGAGGACGGTGGCACTGCTGATTGATCCAAGAGAGCCGTTTTTTGCGGTGTTTCTGACATTCTGGTGGCGATGAACTTAATTACGAGCTTAAATGGCCTTGCTAAGAAACCATCCTCCAAATGCCATTGATAACAGGCTTGCCACATCGACCTTTGCAAAGGTCAACTCCGTGGTAGCCCGGGTTTGGCTCAAAGGGCGGAAACATACAGGCTTTTGGAGGTCCTTCGGCTGCAGTGTATTGATTCATAGTGAGATTGACGACCGCTAGTGTCGTGATGGTTGAGGATGTTGAATCGAGCGTGTGACTTTCCCTCTCTGGTCACCGCGTTTTGTGGTTTGCTCGTGTTCGTCGAGGTTTTTCGAGGCTCGAGGCGTTTCTGTCGTCCTTTAGGGTGTTTGAGATTGGTATCTCTGAGAAAAAAGATGAAGAATTTGTCGTATGATAGAGCCTTGAGTTCATATCTTATGGGAATAGGGGCTCTTTCCTAGTTCTATACACGTATTGTCTTCTTCTCCATTAGTTCTACCGCTGTGCGGAGTGGCGGTACCTTTTAGTACGTGAGTTCATTCAAAGAGAAACTGGGTCATTCGAACTCACCTTTCCGAATGCCAGATATCGGGTCAAGTCACCGTGGAAATCAAGGGGCATACAAAGGTTTTCATAGTATTTCAAGCCGGCAGGGGAAATGTTCTTCCCGCCTCCGACCTGATCTTGTGAGCCTGAGAGTTAGTTCTCAACGGCACTATCGTAACTAGTCTTACTGTGGGTTCCAATTTGTCATAGATCATAGTTACGTTCACACAGAGAACAAAAGAGCCGGATCAAAAGGTAGTCAGGTGTTCCGAGGGTAGTAAAACATGCGTGTCGATCCACATCAGCATCAGAACAGATGTGCGTAGTCTGGGTATCCGATGTGATGCAACGCAGAATTCTTACTCTTCCCGATCTCAGGAGTCTTTTATAGCATTCTCTTTGCCGAGTGAAGAGCCACAGATCAATGACACTGGGGAGGGAGGCAGAGGGAAGGAAGATACGCATGAAGAGGAAACTTGTAGGAGAGGCAGGTAATCACTGGTCCATATAAGTGCTCAGCCAAGGGGGATTATCGTTCCTTGATAAAAAAAAATAACAATCACAATTGCTTCGTGTTACAACCACTGGCAGGTTCCTGTGCGGTAAGAACCAGGGCGATTGGAACTCAACCTCTGACTAGCAGTTTTCCCAGGCAGACATTGTCGAAATTACTTCTACATCGTCACACCTCGTCAGCCTAGTGTAAGAACTCCCGGCATCTTCCAACTCCGTTGAGTATCGTCTACCGGGCAGTAGTCTCTTGGGATAGATTTTTGTCAACAAGACTTATTTCGAGGGCCAGTTACATCCCTCTTAAAAACGGCGCGAAATCTTTGACAGACTCAAGACTGCCAATTTTTCAAATATTGAGGGAGAACTATAGAAAAAAGACTGTTTTATCCTCAGTATTGATGGTTGCCAAGGGTGTTTGGTTGGAAAGCTTGACTGCCTTCTTGTGATGGAAGACGGATGTTGACGAGACAGGTCTCGGTCATGAATGGTTCTGTATCAGGGCAGTGATCACTCATAATCCTTCTCTATGCTTTAAAACAGACATCTAGTCTCTCTACCGTATGTGCTTTCATCAGAGTTTTCGCTTGAGACAGGCCGTAGAAAGCCTGCAGAGACCAGGTAAAAGTGCTCGTGGCGAAGCTTCTGGTCTCTCCTGCCCTGTGACTTTTATCAACAAAATGCAAAGGGGAAATTCAACAACCTCGTATCCGATCCAGCATTCTCGGACTTCAGGCCACTCCATCGCAAGACTACCTACGCGAGTTAGGGGGAGGGGGGGTTCAACAGTGCTCCAACAGACTGCACGCTCAATGACCTTATGCCTCATAGGCACCTCCCGGAACATTTAGGAGCCACATCAGTATGTGTGTATAGTACAACCGGGGCACACTGCTCCTTCCTCCTTCTATTTTTCTTGTTCAGAATCGACCCACTCTGTACTTATATGATCACTCTGAATACTTGAACAGAGGAGAATTAGAACAGATGTTTCAGAGTATCGTGGTTTTGAATATTAATGCTGATCTCAGAGGTCATTTTACTATTGGTACAGACTCCCTCCATTATACGGGCAGAAGGATGCGTATACAGCATAGTAAATTAATAGGCAGAAGCAAGGGCCTCTTTTGACACCCCCCCCCCCCAACCCGCATAGGAAGGTTCGGGCTCACAGAGGGTATCAAGGGTAGAGACGTCGTTATGAGGTTTAGAACTTGAATAGCTCCCTGATTGTGATCTAACTTGAACATTGTAGTTGATGAGATCATTCAGGGCTCCCGTAAGACCGCTGAATAGGGCTCTTGTTTGTCGAATAAGGCTGGAGTTTGGTCACTTTGGCAATGATCGTATGACGCAAGCTATAGCCATTCACCAAAAATCTGGTAAAATGTAACCGAGTTCTGTGCATGACTCCTTAGGAAAGCCACCGGGTCAAGTAAAGCTGCTAAAGACTACAAAAGATACCTGGAAAGAGTTCAGAGATGATGTATTATGGCATCAAAAACGGCACGCACTTCGTGGTCAAGTACGTTATGTCTTGCGAATGTGTGCGTAGACGCCTTATCAGCAGCGACCCTCAGCGAATCCCTCCTGCTTCCAGATTAATTTCGGCATAGTTTGAGTTGTGTTTTGACTATAGGCAATGGAATCGTACAATCGTTTGACGGCCTCGCAGCCCCAGAGTTCCAGTCAAGTCCTCGCGAACCACACAAAGCGCAATGAATGATAGACACCTAGATGATGGGCACGCTCGATCAAGATTTTACGGAGGGATCTGAGATGACTTTGACAGCAGGCAGCTTCTCCAACATTTGTAGATTGACACATCATGATTTATTCCCCTCACGTCCCTAGATATGGCATGTGGCGATAGATTGGGCCAAAACTTCTAACGCTGCGTACGAACTTCGCACCCACGTAGTCAAGAATACCTGAGCATCGTGATACAATAGCAAGACGTTCACGCTTTTGTACGAGGACCGCTGAAAATCTGGCTGTACGCCTTCAGGCGATGCCAATTTTACACAGGTTCAGCCCCTTATAAAAGCACGCGAGGACTTCATGGTTATGAAGTAGTCCATGAATAAGTAACCTACTCAGAGCAGACTCAAAATAAAAGCCAGTCAAGGTTCAAAAGCAGGAGAAACGGAGGGGATAAAGCATCATATAGCAGTCGAGACTTCACAATATTCATGCTCAATTGAGCTCGGTGTTCATCATGAAAAGGAAGGTAGTGAAATTCCCATCAGACCTACCGTCTCTAAAACTATAGCCACTAGGTACCCAGAGACTCGTCATTACCAGAGTACATGTTCATGAGAAGTATATACCATCAATACCACTGCCGCCTCCGCCGCCGTCGCCTTAACGTCTAAGCTGCACTTTGCTCCTTTCGACCAGATTTTCACGAATCCTCTCGAACGACCCCGGCCCCTTACGACTCGAGGTCGAAATCGAAGAACACAAAGGGTTCGCCCTATGCGCGCGCTTGAGGTACACAAAGACTGTAAACTTGCTCGAAAGTCTGTAGAAAGATCAATTGCAACCGACCTCACCGGCCGGCTGACAGAAAAAAAGCTTTGGCTAAAAAACCCCCCTCGCGCGCAGTCAAAGAGAACACGACAACCAAGCAAGGCAGACAAGGAGACAAAGCCTAGCCGCCGAAACCTCATCGCTTACGGGCAGCTGTAATGAAACTTTGCTTGCTGTTTACCGCCATCGTCTATTTGAAAGTAAGGTATTCATATCCTATCCGCCCTGGTCCTCCATAACGTACCTAGCTCTTTAACCAAAGCAGAACCAAAATGAACACTCAGTCTCATCAAAGAAGGAATGCAATAACTAAATATAAGCGACACGACAAAGACCTCTTCCGCCAGAGAATGATGACATCGAGGACAGCTGCAAAATATCTTCAAACTCATGCATGACCCGACGGCGGCGGGCCAGGCCGGCGCATCCAAACGTAAAAAGCGGGGATACTGACCGGCGCGCACCACCCGGTGGTCAACCCCCCTCCCCTCCGAGCCCCGCCTCAGCAAGATCGGCGTCGGGGATACGGGGGACAGAGCCACTTGATAGTTCACCTCACCTCACCTCACCTCAGTTTACCTTTTAACATACCACGGCTCTTGAACGAGCTAGTACTCTCAAGGAACTATAAACATGATTTGACTTGGCTTGTTCCCGGGGGCGTATAAAGTGAACTTGTTCACCAGGTATTAATGGCACCTCGAGGGATAATACTCATTACGGGCAATTCACACGACTCTATGTAGTATTTATTAGGAAGGAACATGATGACCTACGTAACAAATGATGGGACAATATTGATCCAGCCGTTGGATGAGGAGAGAAACTCGACTCGATCCCTCGTATACTCAATGAACTCTCTATCCTCATTACCCCCGATATATACTGAGTAATCGCCATCCGCCGCCCGCTGGAAGCAAGACTTTCCGCATTCGGTAGGTAAATCGCAACGAAAAGCCTCCTCTAAATACTCTCACCGATACCAAACAGGTCTAACGCAGAGCTGGCGCGGCCGAGGGCGCGGGGGCGCCTGGGCGGGCGTACGGGCGGAGAGCGAAGAATCAGGACTTCCTAATCGGACACGGGACTTTCCATACACGCCGTCTACGAAGACTACTACTACAGCAGCACCTACTCTCTTTTCCACTTGTCGCCGCCCTCGCCAGCGGACGGAACATTTCCCACGCACTAGTCGATTCTGAACCAGATTCCGGGGATATGCCAGGCCGCGGCTCGAATTCGTATGGTCTCGACTTCGTTAATCTTGGGAAAAGGACCCTTGATTTCCCGAGTCGCTTGGTGGCGCCCTTTCTCCCTTTCTACCCGAGCTAAGTCAGCTAGCTTCACCCTTCTAACTAACCCTTTTACTTTTCGAGCTCGATCTCACCGGAGCGGGCTCCTGGGGAGAGACCTTGAGAGCTTTGCGAGAGGAGAGAGGAGATTGGGTGGAAGAGGGGCCGCGCGTGGTAAAGCTCAGCTTAAGTGTGGCATATTCCATCACCTTCACCTAGGTTTCTACGTCAGGCAGCAGAGAAAAGTCAGTAGAACCTCCAGAACATGCCTTGCCCGTCCCGCCTCGTGTGTTGCGCGCAGCGCCGGGCAGAAAGAGGGGTTGTCCGGCCGTGGATCACTCCCTGTAAATGATTGTCGTGATCGGGTTACAGATGTCAACCTTAAAAAAGTCCACATCATACACCATACATAGTACACTACACCGGAGCAACACGCAGCAACAAGCACACAAGGCACGGCACTGCCAGACTAAAGTTCTCAAGCAGTGGTGTTACCAGGAGAGTGGTTTGGTGTGGTGGGAAGGTTCAAGTGGACGCATCGACAAAAGTCAGAGGTACCTTGCCTTGCCTTGCCTTGTAGTCTCTGGCAGCAGCGGCGGCGGCGGCAACGGACGAAGGACAACTGCGTCCCAAGAAAAGATTCAATAGTGAGGAGGGCTAGGATCACGCAGTGGAGGGAGCGTCCCGGAAACAACCACCTCACTGCCCGCGCCCGATATCACGCCCCGTCTTGATCAAGTATGTTGGACCTCGCGTTGTATCATTACCCATTGTGCCATGTCTTTCTCGACGGATTCACGAGCAAGGGGAGGCACTGTTACCGAACCGAGTGAGCTTGCGTTACTGTTGTTCTCGGAAACTCACGTGCATAGTCGCTAGGGCGACGTGGTCGTGAACGAAGTGGACGAAAGGTGGACGCTGAAACAGCATGTCGCCGGTTTCGTGTCCGTGCCTGTGCCTGGGGTGGTTGTCTTCAAGGGGGCTGGGGGCTGGGGGCTGGGGCTGGGAGGGAAGAGGGAAGAGGGACCACAGTCATGCTAGCAAACCGCGTGTTTGATCCGCAACTTCAAGTTTGGCGAAAGAGAAATCGTCAAACTTTTTTGGGATGGCAGACGATAGACGTAGACCAGTGCTTTCAACGGAGCTGAGACGAGGAGGATCCTCGACCAAGAAGAGTAGAGAGCCCTTTTCGAGAGAGGAAGACCAACGAGTAAAACGTCGCCCGGGTGGCTTCAGTGTCGTTTGATGATATGGCCCGTGGTGGGACGATAGGGAATTCGTTGCTGTCAACCTCTGACGCGGTATCTGTTCGAAACCGTAAAGGTGACGAGGCCCAACGCGACCCTCAACGGCAAAGAGCCCAAGGCTGGGACAATGGAACTTAATGGAGAGTGCCGTTGTACGTATCTGAACACTATATCTGTGGTCCAGCGATGGTGATCGGGGAGACGTGGGTGAGATAGAGTTGGCTGCAGGGTTGCAAGGAGCCGCAGACAGAGGGCAGACAAGCTGGGATGGCCCGACCAAATTCTGGACTGGAAAAGGAACCGTGAATGCATGAAGCAACAGCGCCATGTTTGCGTGTGCCTTTCAGGGCTGAGCAAGCAGACGCGGCGTGCGTTGTGTTGGTGCAATGCTGCGCGGTCGGTGAGACGAGACGGAGACGGAGGGCGGGAACGATCCCAGCCTCGTCTCCGTCTTGACAATAGCGAGTTCGAGAACTGGAGCACGAGGCTCTGACGAGGCGCTAGTTGCAACGACGTCGACAAGAGAGGACAACAATGGGCACGTTCGCTACGCATCCAGAACTTGGGAGAGCGGCTCAGGGCTGGCTGGTCAATGCCTATCGCCTGAACGTCCGTCTTGCATTGCTGGGGCGACGGGGCATCAGAATTAGGAGCAATAACACAGTCTTCGGGGCAGGCACCGTCCTAAAACGGCAATGAATTTGAGGCTCGGCTGAGTAGGGCCCCTTTGGCAAATTAAAACGGACTGGGGGGGCCTTCAGAAGTTCAGACTCTCGAGACATGGGTGCGCGTTGTTGGAGAGTTGAAGCAGAGTTCCGGCGTAGATTGATATTAGGGCAGACACCCGAAGACGGTGGAGATGGCAGGTCCAAGGTCGTCGAATGAAGGATCGAGATCGGGCGGAGATATTGTCATGGGCCTTGATATACACTAGGTAGAGATGTGAACGCGAGAGGTTCGCCTGATGGTCCAAGGTCCTTCCCACGGTTCCCACCCGTGACAGCACAGCGTACCGTGACGACGGAGGTGGAGGGGGCACCGGTTGGAAATGGGGGGCTTGACTTTGAATGCCTTATTGATATTAACCGTTATGCGTTGAAAGGAACGCACGTACTCTGTACGCGCTGGCACAAGCTTTATCTGTACGAAGGATACGCGTCGCCCGGTATCCGTGGACCGTACGGGACGAAATGAGGTGACGGTTTATTTCGGGAGCCGGGAGAGCTAAGCCCACCGACCGAAATGGCGGACGGGACGGAGTGGGCGGGAATGGCATAGTTCGATGCGAACTGGATGATGTGCATCGTGCCATCGTCTTCATCGCGCACGGTGGGGGAGAGACGGAGACGAGAAGTTTATCGTGCCCTTTTGCGCCTGGTGTTTCTTCGTGACGCTCAGGATGGCAGTGACATAATTGGGTAGCAATAGCCACTAGGTTCAAACAAGATTTCTTGTTAGATTACTTGGTGCTGCTCGATAAGATTTGGATGTGCGCTGGAAAAAATGTCCCTTATTTTCTGCTCATTCTCATTCTGGGCCGGCGAGCCCTAAGCTGATGAGGCTCATCATTAAACGGGAATTCCGAACGAGGCTTAAACTGGCACTGACTTGAGCATGTATCAACGGCCGGCCGTCCTTTTGCAGATGAGTCCGGGCAGCTAAAACAGCCCCGGATTTACTGGGCAGAAGGGTCACACAGACTGTGACCAGGGGAAGGGGTCTGGGTTAACGACATTTGAGGGTTCTTGTAGGCCCCATTTCCTCTTCAGGTGGAAGATCTGCCGGGGCGCCAGTGGCTCGTTTTGAAACTTGAGAGAGAGCCCTGGAGCAGTAGAAAGAAGCAAGAATGCTCGCCTGTGGCAGGATTGTACATGAGGCGCGCAGAGAGTTGATAGCATCTGTAGCCTGTACTTAGGTAATGAGTATCGGTGGTACGCCGGAAAGGGTCACCTGCAGAGTCGTAATTTGCGGAAGATAGACGCCTAAAATAGACGCGGGCATGGCGCATGCTGCAGAGGAGAGGAGTGAGTAAGTTGTGAAGAAAGATGATGAAGCAATGTCGCATGCGTACTGCGGTAGGTGAGTTAAGGGAAGAGATGGCAGAATGGGATGTTCCCTGTGGAAAAGCAGGGCATGGGAGTGTTGGCGGGATGAACAGACCGACTTTTCGATATCCCATCCTTGGTTGCCCTTTCCATGCATTCCCCCCCTCTGGCGCAGTTGCCGCTCCTTCTTTTTGCCACTATTTTGTTACAAAATACGGATAGGAAACTGGTGATCATTGGATCTTCCCTTTCTGCTTCGCTCCGAGGAAGGGGGCCTGGCTGGGTCTGTGGTGATCAGGGCTCCGTCCCCCGGACTCTCCATTCTAGTGCTTCTGGGCCTACCTTCCGAAGCCGAGGTGCTCGCCGATGGTTCTTGGTGTTTTCCCAGGTTGTTGGTGATGAAGACTGCACCTCAGAGACGAAGTGGAAGTGGTTGCCAGCTGGCGGTGATTCCCTTCCCAAGTGCTCCGTAACGCAACCGTCAACCTTGCGACCAATCAGAGCTCTGGCGCAGGTTGCCGCTGCCACTTCTTTTTTCGGACTCGCGGGAGTGGATCAAACCCAAGGCGCACGCCCCCTGACGACTCAGGGGGTGTTCAATCCCTGTTCGTTTCAGATTCTGCCAAGACGTCGAGGAAAATAGCTTCAAATTTCACACCAAGGGCCCGACGCTCCCAATCTCCCATGCAGCGCCAGATTGGAAAGCTGCAGGATGTGGGGGCGGCGACTCGCAACAGACTCGTTTCTGCCTCTCTCTCCCTCTTAAAACTCTCGACCGTGGGAACACTGTACACTTACACCCAAGAGAGGCAAGGCAGCACAGTATGAACGAGGCAAAAGCCAACCTGAATCATTTGCTGCAGTGCTCCTTCAGCGGGATGAGCAAGCCACAAAAAACAAGAACAAAAACCATAGGGAAAAGCTCTCATAGTATATGCCATGGCTAAAAGGGTTTGGAGGGAATGCAAGATCGCACACTACTACGCTGTTGTGTCCGTACCTAGTCTCGTGATCTTACTTTGTCGCAGACTCGCAGGTCGTTTCCCGCTAACAGTTTTTTTTTACCGAGTTTTATTTTCCTGATCTACGATCGCGAAATTGCGATGAGCTGGTTCAAGTCTGAGAATGTTTTAGGGATGAGCTGGCTGGGCGCCCGCGCCGTGTTACGTTGCCGCTTGCCGAATGTCTGCCGCAAACATGACCCTGCTGCGTTGCGAGCGTCCAACCCGTTGTCAAGAAACAAAAAAAAGACGGGGTTACCATCTGGAGTTCATGCGGTGATCCAACAAGGGGAAGGGGAAAAAACAGGAGGCTCTGCTTGTAGTTCAGGACCACGATGTTGTATCAGCATCCGAGCGTTCTTTATTTCTCCGTTTTCCATGTGACCAACGCGTCCAGGCTCTTCAACGTCAACGTCGTTTCTTTCAACTGCTTTGTTGTCGCGATGATGCAAATGATGACGCCGGTGTCCTCCCCCCCTCTTCTCCCCACCATCACCGCCGTTATAGTATGAGACGGGGGCGCATGGAGGAGGATGAGTGAGTCAATACATGGGACGAAGAGGGACGGTGGATATCCCATCTATCTTGCGAGAGATTGACGAACGGTGAGCGTGGGTAAATAGAGGAACACACATATACGAGCCGCCGGCTATAGTGTTCCTAATTCTGGCAAAAGGAAGAAGAAAAAGAGACAATATCGATCATTATAGCCGTCCCTCCGTCAGGTAGAGGTATCATCCATGGAGGAGCCACGATGGCTCTGCCCTGCCTCGGCATCTCCCATACGAGGACGCGCAGGGATCTGGCTGGCAAGACTGGAGGAGGGATGTCTCTGGTTGTCAAGAACGGGATTTTCGCCCTCACTTGAATGAAAAAGAGCAGTTCAAAGGGAAAAAGGTTTCCTGACAAGACAACCAGACCACCCCCCGTCTGCCCCTGAGTGCCCCCCTTCGGTTTCTCTTTCTCTCTGGTAGGCCTGCTGCCCTGGGAGACTCTGGAATGTTGCCTTTAGGTGTGGCTTGTCAATCTTGTCTCTGGTTCCTAGTATTGCCACGAGGCCAGAGTCGATCGAATTCCCTAGCCGCTTTCAACCTGTCAAGCGATAAACCTTGGGTGCCAGCTGGGAGATTGGCCCTTTTTCTTTCTTTCTTATAATCAGCCCACCGGAAAAGAGAGTATCTTTTCCATGTGACTCGTGATGTCGAGTCCTCTCTACTCGAGAAAGATGTAGCGAGCCGTTATCCTGTGAGAAGTGTGAATTGGGGTGACTGGCAACCTAATCCCTGGCAAGACGAGGGTCACAGAATGGAGACGAACGTCGAATTATCCCACGGGACTGGCTACGACGCGTCTCCCCCCTCTGCTCGGTCAGCCGCCGACAGATAAAAGCCTGCGCCTACAGAGTGGGTGGGCGGCTCTTTGTACGTGGAACGGAATATCCGTAGTATAGGTCAAACTGAGCCCCAAAGTCGGATACCTCCATTTTCGTTCGTCCAAAAGGTCCCTTGATTTAGGAGAGAGAATGGACTCTATGGAGAAGTTGCAAATTCTAGATCGGGTGTAGCTCTATAGTGGCTCTTACCGACTTAGGTAGGGGGCCCATCAACTTCCAGCGGATACTGAGCCCTCTGTACCTGTTTCCGACAAATGAAATAAAGGTCTCCATCCTGCCTTGCTTGCCTGGCCGCGCGCAACTGAATACCGCAATTGGGGGTCCGGCGGCGAGACCGAGGGACAAACTCGAGCTGATGAGTGCAAATAGAGAGAGATAATGGACTCGAGGGGGAGGAGGAGGAGGAGGAGGACACACTACAGGCGGCCGCAGCGTTTCGTTGCCGCCGAGGGAAGGAGCCACAAAGAAGGCTGTGTTCAGTTACGGCGTGTTCAGAAGGGCAAAGACAGCGAAAGGACAGCGTGTATCCCGAGCATGTTTGGCGGCTAAGGCCGGAGCCGCGGGCACCACAAAGGGCGGCGGCGGCTTTTCTTGCTCGAAAGATGGTGGTTCAAACTGAAACCGGTGGTTGGCTGGTGATGGCCGCATCTAGAAAAGGGCACGAACGGGCAAACGCAGGCTGTGGCAGTGGCATGTCGCGCAAGCCGTCGGTACTCCGTGGGTAGTAACCGCAGACGTACGAAGTATGGTTCAGAAACATCATGTTCTAGACTAGGGCAGTTCAAGTCGGTGGGCTTGGGTTTAATGATCGAAGACCCAGTTGTCGGTAAGGATATTGGCCTGGTTCAACAAATTGGCTATATGTCAATTGTCAAATGAGAAGCACGGCCCGGCGATGATGATGTTCTATAGTGGGCTTGGAATGATGGAATGATCTGCAATCGACATTTGCCAGACTGACTCTCAACGAACCCACGGAAACCCACGATCCCGGCCGAGAGTCGGTCGGCATTTGCCTACACAAATTTGAGTGGAGGGTATTTTGGGTTCTCGTGAGGAATGTGTTATGTGGACTGGAAATGCTGACTGTACAGAGTGCACGAATATCCGGAGAGCCACTTAGGCAAGGAACCCAAGAAGCACAGCACCACAGGGCACAAGCAGCACCAGAGTCTCGGTATTTCGTTGCAAGGGTGGAGGGGGAGCAAGGCAGGGAAAGACAAGCAAGAAAAAAAAAGCACAGGACGCCAGGAGGCTCTCGCCTTCAGAGATGAGCCAGCCCTCTGCGCCAAAAGTAGTAGCAGGCAATTACTGGGAACAGCCGGGAGACTGGTCACCCAGGGCGAGATCTGACAGCCCAGAGACGAGGCCGCCGCCGAGGGCAGGACAGGACGACGGCGGCTGTTCGGTTACAGAGTTCAGACTCTTTTCTTCGGTATTACAGCCTCAGCGAGGCAGAGAGCAGAAAGACGGAAACTTCCATTGGATAGGGCAAGACAAGACAAGGGGCTCGGGAGTTCGCGCTGGCACTCGGGGTTGCTAAGAGGAAACAATAGTGGTGATTGGGCGTTGCGCACCGCAACTTTGCGCCCAGTCCTGGCGGCGTTGAGCTATATTCCTTTTTGACATGCCTGTCATTTTCTTTCTAGTCTTTGGATTACTCCGTACGGTAATAACGACTCCCCGTATTACGGATACAGATGGCTTGAGAGCCCGTGTCTGCGTGTTGGTACTAGTGTGTATGATCGCTGTGACCGTTTGTGTGTAAGTGCGTGCGTGTGATGTGTAGACATGCCACTGCATGTCACTGAGAAGCCAGCTTGATAGGTTGATTCGGAGTTCTCAGGTCAGCAATTTCAAACTCATGGCGTTCTCTTCGTAGCGAAGTGGAACAACCAACGCAACCGGAGGAGGAGGAAGTGCAGAGAGGTATTTCGCTGAGCCTTGAGGCACAGAAACAAACACTACAAGTAGACTGACAGTGAGCCGGAAATAAGCACCCATCAATGGAAGACGGAATCCCGCCGCCACTGCGACGGCGCATTGCTATTACTGCGTGTATGGAGTGTGTAGATGTTCCCCTGGCAGATCTTTTTCCTGTCTGGAGATTAAGACGCGGCACCAACGCCGGCAGCAGCTTCATCAGGGACAAGAACTCCAAACAGTGGCGAGAAATGACGGAACACTTCATATGTGCAGCAGGTCAGCATCTTTAGTGTTGAATAGCTTTTGATCGACAACTCTACTTTCGTGACTACAACTCTGACTGAGGCAAGCAATTGCAACAGACATATATGTAGGCAAACGGATCTGGGATACACATTGGGCAGATCCATGAGACCATGAACCATGAACCCGAACCAGCAGTGGTGAAGAGGGCAAGAGGCAAAAAGATTGAAATGAACTGAATCCAACAGGCCAGGTACGTACCGAGGCTGCACGGCAGGAGTGACCAAATTGGAACTCCCCGGCGTGTCATTGGTCCAAAATTGGCGCCGACCTCCAGACGACGGGCGACTACGAAGTACAAGGCGCATGCACGCGACTGGGACTGCGGACCTTTTCTTTTCTTTCCTTCTTTCTCTATTCGTACTTGCTAAGTTGGTCCTGGAGGGCGGGCTATTAATAGACCCCGGTCATGTTTCGCAAAATACGCTCCAGTCACGACGAAGCCCCAGTGCCCCACTTCCTGGGGGTGACCCAGGCACACACAGGGACCCAGGGGATCACTCGCAACAAG